TGGATCTGTTTGCGCTCTCGGAGACTTGGCTCCAACAGGACGACTACGTTAGATTGAATGAGTGCACTCCTCCGACGCATGTTAACTACCAGAAAGCCAGAACTACAAGTCGCGGCGGTGGCGTTGCGATTATATCACACACCAACTTGGTTCTTAGTCCCAAAACCAACAACGCTTTTCACTCGTTTGAAAACTTAACACTTTCAATCACCTGTCCTGGGTGGAGAAAACAAAAAGCAGTACTATTTATAGTTTTATACCGACCTCCTGGTCCTTACAGCGAGTTCCTAACAGAATTCTCTGACTTCATTTCAAACCTAGTTTTGGAATGGGAAAACATAGTTATAGCTGGAGACTTCAATATACATGTGGACGACAGCACTGACAGCTTAAACAAAGCTTTCAGCGCCGTACTAGATGGTGTTGGTTTTACTCAGAATGTCGAGGAACCTACTCACATTCATAACCACACCTTGGACCTTGTCCTGACCTACGGCTGTGATGTCTCCAATGTTGACATCCAGCGTCAAAGCTCGTTGCTGTCTGACCATTTCTTGATCACGTTTGATCTCGCTTTGGAGGACTTTCCTGTCCCGCAAGATAAAACCATAATGAAAAGAACCTTAAATGATAAATCTATCACAAGGTTCAAAGAACTAATACAGCCTATGTTGAATACTGCTGCAGGTGAACCTGTTCACAGCAGCTGCAGTCCCTCAGTCATTGACCAATCGGTGGGCAACACTATGGAGTCTTTAAAATCTGCATTAAATGCAGCAGCTCCTTTAAAACAGAAAACCATTAGGATTAGATCATCGTCGCCCTGGTACAGTGTTCAACTCCACACTTTAAAACAGGACGTCAGAAAATTGGAGAGGCTATATCGCCACTCCCACTCGGAGCCTGTCCACAGGGAGTGGAAAGCAGGTCTCCGAAACTACAAGAAGGCCCTTCGCGGGGCTCGAACTCAATACTATTCAACTTTAATAGAAGCGAATAAAAACAACAGTAGATTTTTGTTTGGTACCGTCGCTAAACTCACAAACTGCCATAGCGCAATCGAGCCTAAAATTCCAAGCTCACTGAGCAGTGTCGACTTTCTCCACTTCTTTAATAATAAAATTACATCCATCCGTGACAAGCTGGAGGAGGTTGCTCCTGCTGTTAGTGGTGGACAGGTTGAAGCGGCATACGTGACTTCCCACTTAGACTCTTCAGTGGGCCTTAATAAATTCATGGCTGTGAGCCAAGCAGAGGTGATCTCTGTGGTCACATCCTCAAAAGCCTCAACTTGCATGTTAGACGCAGTCCCGACATGGCTCTTCAAAGACATACTTCCTTCGATAATTGAGCCTATCGTAAATATAATAAACGCATCCATACAATGTGGCTATGTCCCACAAGCTTTTAAAACCGCGGTAATCAAACCCCTTCTGAAGAAAACAAACCTGGACCCAGAAATACTTACAAACTACAGACCGATCTCAAACCTCACTTTTATATCTAAAATCCTGGAAAAACTTATAGCTGAGCAGCTCCGCTGCCACCTGCAGGAAAATGATATGTTTGAAGTCTTTCAATCAGGATTCAGAGCTCATCATAGCACTGAAACGGCACTAGTCAAAGTCACAAATGACTTACTACTAGCTGCCGATAATGGACAAGTGTCAGTGCTGGTCCTACTGGACCTTAGTGCTGCATTTGACACAATAGACCACAGCATTCTACTGCAGAGGCTAGAATGTGATATAGGTCTTAGAGGAACAGCCCTTGGCTGGTTTAAATCCTATTTATCAGATCGATATCACTTCGTCAATGTGAATCAGGACTCGTCGCCTTATTCTGGAGTGGAATTCGGTGTGCCGCAGGGTTCGGTACTCGGACCGATTCTTTTTACTCTCTACATGCTGCCACTGGGAAACATTATTAAAAAGCATGGAATTAATTTCCACTGCTATGCAGATGACACACAGCTTTATCTGTCGATGAAGCCTAATCAGACAGATCAGCTAGAAAAGCTCAGTGCCTGCATAAAGGACCTTAAAATGTGGATGACTCTTAACTTCCTACTTCTCAACCCGGAGAAGACAGAAGTGATCCTACTCGGTCCGAAGCGCCTGCGTGACTCCCTCACTAACCAGATGGTTACTCTCGATAATGTCAGTATAATACCCAGTAACACTGTGAGGAATCTTGGAGTCATTTTTGACCAAGAACTCTCCTTCAAGGCTTATATAAGCCAAGCAACTAAAACGGCGTACTTCCACTTACGGAACATCGCTAAAATTAGGAATTTCCTTCCTAAAAGTGACGCGGAAAAACTCATTCACGCGTTTGTCACCTCAAGGCTCGACTACTGTAACGCTTTACTGGCAGCGTGCCCTAAAGCCTCTTTGAAGAGCTTCCAGCTCGTTCAGAATACAGCAGCTAGGATCTTAACAGGTACCAAAAGGAGGGAGCACATAACTCCGGTGTTAAAATCACTCCACTGGCTCCCTGTGGAGTACAGAATAAAGTTTAAAATCCTACTCTTAACATATAAAGCCATAAATGGCTTGGCTCCTTCTTATCTCCAAGACACGTTAGTGTCGTATCAACCAGGTCGAGCGTTGCGCTCACAAAACGCCAGACGTCTGGTGGTCCCTAAGGTCTCAAAGGTCACTGTTGGTGGCAGAGCATTTAGCTACCAAGCTCCTTTACTGTGGAATCAGCTTCCCATTTATGTTAAGGAAGCAGATACGGTCTCCACATTCAAGGCCAGGCTTAAAGCACTTTACTTTAATTTAGCATATAATTAGGTAATATATAATATGTAGTGTATATATTATATATATATGCTGTATTATGTTATATATTATGTTATATATTATTCAATAATGTATTGTGTTATGTTGTATATTATGTTATATATTATGCTGTATGTTATTCTTTATTCAAGGCTAGGTTTAAAACAGTCCTCTTTAGTTTAGCATATGGCTAGGAAGGTAAGACTCGGAGAAGGTTAAACTCCTCAGAGTGTCAGTCAAGCTGCATAGGGAGTCAGTTTGCTGGGAGAAGTATGGTAACTTGAGCACTATCCTCTCCTCCTTCCTACTTTATCTGTTTAGCATTTTTAGGATTCTGACTGTAGTTTGTTCATTGCTATTCACCCGTTGTCCCATTGTCTGTTTCATGGTACGATGACGGGATCTCTGAGCCTGGCCTCTTCCATCTACACCTGCGGACTGCCCCGCCCGACCCGCCTGGGAGTGCTTCGGTCCTGCACCGGACCTGTCCACGTTCAGCGTCCACTGGTCCACGTTCTGTAGCTTAGCTTAGGTCCTAGATCATTAGCCTGTCCGTCCGGAGGAGCGGATCCCTTTCTCATATGGGTCTCCCTCCCTGTGGGTTTCCCTAGTTCTCCTCCAAGGTTTCTCACTTTTTCCCACTGGGTTTTTTAAGAGTTTTTCCTTGTCGATGCAGGAGGGTCTTGTTGGACAGTTAGTGTCCAACAGAAAGGATTGGTGATGATCAGGACACTTTAGCATTCTACAACATGTATGGACATTTTCTTCTGTGTGTGCTTTATATTCTTCATGTGTTTTAACTGTTGATTCTGACTTGTGTTGGTGATTTCAATGGTTTTGTTAAGTCCTCTGAGATGACTTCTGTTGTGACCTAGGGCTATACAAGAATAAATTGTATTGTATTGTGTATTGTATTGTGTAACCCTGCCCCTGCGGTGAGCTGCTCCTTGCTCTGGCATCAGTCATCGGACATGAATCAACATCTGTTCTTCCCAAGCTCACCACAGCACACGTCTGCCTGCAGAGACTGACCCGCATACTCACCGTAGCTATTAAGAAGTGATGAAATTATTATGCAGCCCTTTAAGACTAATTAAATAATCATGGTGTGAATTATCTCTGAATTATTGACAAAGGTAGAATACATTAAGAACACACTTAAGGTCGGACAGTGTTTTTTTATTGTCATGTTATTTCAACGGCTCTTACAGTTCACTGAAAGAATAAAACCAGCTTGCAAATGATATAATGTTGGCTGCCCTTGAACGTTTTTGATCAGTAATAAATATAACGGACAAATATATTGTAAGGTCATGTCTTGCATTAACAAATAAATGTAAAAAGGATCAGTGGGTCTTTCTTAGAGATTCTTTTAATAAAACAAAGCATGTAAAGAAGCTAGTATATTAATGTCTTCCATCTTGTTTTGTTCAGCACTTTGAGTTGCCTTGTGTATGAATGGTACTACTAAAAACTTGCCTTGCCTTACTTAATTACCTGCCTCTACTTTGTTAGAGGTGCGACCTGTCTCCATTCCTGCTGTTGTTACACATCTACAAAAACAAAGCTAGCTTCTTTACACTCATTGTCTTATCAGAAGAACCTTCTAGGCGTTTTTTATTAACAGTTTAAGGACTATATATATACACACGCCGGAATCCTAACATATCATTTTGGCACCTCTGCCTTGATACGGATGATTTTTACACCGACGTTCCTCCATGACAGAGGCAGACAACTGTACAGATAACCAAATGCATACAATTCATAAATAGCTATACCTGGGACATTCAAACCCTGGCTACGTATACATGGAAGTGGTAATTTAAATGTTGAATGTGTTCGACAAAGAAAAGTTTTAAGTTAGAAAATAAATGTTTTGATGTGGACTTACTGGAAACCTGGAAAAAGTAACAGATAAGCAAACTTATCTGTTATCTGTCGCATGGCGCCGTAAAGATGGCGCCGTGGCAAGAGCTCTGGTGTGTGTCTGGTGCACACCGGGGTAGTCTTGCACAGTTTTTCCAATGTGGTTTTACTGCAAATGGCAAATAAATGAATCTGAATCTGAATCTGAACTTGCCTTCCTTTGATACACCCAAAACACAATTCCCGCCCATAATATCCATGTATTGTAGCCAGGTCTCCAATGCAAACATGACTTCAGACATACTTTCTGCGTGAGCTTTCAATTCCTGCTCAAGATCTTTCTGTTCACGCCAGTGCCATACGCTGAGGCTGTTCCAGGTTGCTTCTGAACTTATCGAGAAAGCGCGAGGCCAATTCATCATCCACTAGCCGCCCGTCGCTGGACAGTGTCACGGTCATGAGCTGTCGCGTCTGCAGACTCTGGTGGTCTTCGCTTAGCTGCAGTTCCTTCCTGGAGGTCCCCACCGCCAGAATGCAGGCCTGAGGAGGGTTGATGACCGCGCTGAAGCCGCTGATGCCGAACATGCCCAGGTTAGAGATGCTACGGAATGGACGGGGAGAGAGAGAGAAGGGAAAGACATGTTTGTTTACTTTCATTGTTCTTTGATTTCACAGTGAGATTTGTGTTTGCAGTTTTTTTTTTTAAAGATTGTTTTATTCATGTACTGTCTGGGGCACACCGGGGACTTTTTCACATGTAGTCCAATGTGGTTTTACTGCAAATGGCAAATAAATAAATCTGAATCTCAAATCTGTATTTAAGCAGCTTTTTGTAGTTATGAGTGAGTATCAATGTAGGGATGCGGAAAATAATCATACTTAAATGATTTATATTATATAATGTAAAAAAGACATAATTATTGACTACCACTAATGCACTTTGTTCTGAACCGGTAAAAAAACAAAAAACAAATGTGCATATATGTGAAAAAAAGAGAGATGGGCAAAATTAAATCAGAAGTACAGACAGTACAATCAACCACAACAATCAATTCAAATTTGTTGTGCAACTAATCCCAACTTTGAGACTTGATTAAAAACTGGATTGCACAATCTTTTTGATGGTTCCGTTGCCTGCTCTTGTTTTTTCTTTGATTAAAATGTCCCTCAGTATTACACAACTTTACCGCTTAAAAAATAGGAATTATTTTATTGGCTCTGCTTTGTAGGTGGAAAAATAATGCCTTACTGCATTTAGATTTGGACTGATAGTATTAGTGAACCTTTGATATAAAAACAATTTGAAGGGCCTCCCCAGTCCCAGAGAGAGTCCTACAAATGATCTGTTGCAAAGTCTCAAATGCAAGACCAGCCACTTTGGAGGAAATCATTCTGACTACCGTCCCTGTGGTGAACAGAGGGCTGAGACATGTAATCAGAAATGTATCAGTGAATCTACATTCCCAGGCTACAACAGCGTGCTGCACTGATCATCTGCATCATCTCCTCACGTGAACAAGATCCAGAGACAGGTGAGGAAGCTGCTCGCATCACAGAGAGGCACCTCGTTGCAAACTGAGCATGTTGTAGGTCCTGGTTTGATGAAGCAGCAGAAGTAAAATCCTGTAATCCCCAAACTGGACCCTGCATGCCCCAGGCCATACGGTGTGAGTAATATAATAGTTGCTCAGTGGACTCTGAAAACACTCAATGTTGAGGAGAAGAGGAGTGTATATGAGGAGAAGCCGTTCACCTTAATGACAATCCTAACCCTCGGGACTGAGCGCTGAATGATCAGGAGCGTGCATATACATTCCCCTAAGGACAAAAACCTGACATCTCCATAAGAAACGTCGCCTCTGCCTGACACAGAAACCCCATTCAAGTCCAAATGATGCCATTAATTCTAATGAGTTGAAAGCCTGCCTTCCATTTTTACATAACTGATGCTACAGTAACTGATTGTCTGACTCTGAATAAAATGCAGAATAAGCCACATTAAAACCAGTGCATATTTATTCATAGGTACAGTCAGGTAATGATAATTCAAAAATGAAACAAGGGGGAAAAAAATACCTGAATGAACCCCCCTGGTATTCTTCTGGTAGAAGTTTTCCATCTCTGGCCTTTTGTGCCAAAGTCTGCCGTGGGAACAAACAGAGAAATACATTTATTAGCTTGATAGTTCATGAATAGTATAAACAAAAAGAAGAATTATGTACAACTCTTTCATCTAGATGCACAAAAAGAAATCCATCTGTATATTCAAATAAATACTTATTCTTATTGATATGTGCACTAATGTATCGCTTACATACAGTAGGTAGTACGGTAATACAATTTCTGATACAATTCTTGGGGATAGCCTATACCCGAGAATTGTATTTACCATTCAATACCAGAAATCATTCCCAGCAGTAGAAGGGAAAAAAAAAAAAACAGAAGCCAGCTGAGCGGGCAATGACAGAATGAGGGGAGGGAATAGACAACATCCAAATGAGAAGTCGCACACTTTGAGACATGTTATCAGACGCCACTTTGGCTGAATCCATAATCAACTAGAGCATGACACGCAGCATCAGTGGTTTGGTAATGGAGGAGTTTGGAAGAATATGTAAGCAGTCATCATGGAAAGAGGAGATTCGCAAAACATACCTGCTATTAGGGCTGCGAGATTTTGGAAACGTATCTAAACAACATTGCGATGTGATTGCCAATACCCAGTTTATTTAAAAAGTCTAATTTTTTTTCACATGAAGCGATGACCGCATACACAATTCTAGTTTTGCCAGTGGTTTTTTCTTTTATCACAAACAAAAAAAAGTGAAAATTCTTCTGCCCAACAACAAGAAGAAAGATATTCCCATCTCTGCTCTTAAACTCAAATCAAGAAACATGTTCCCAAACTGAACAGATTTCCTTTTTTCAGTATATTTTTTCATTGCAAAGAACTTAATAATAATTGCAGTATTTGCAATATGCTTAAATCCAACCCCAAAAAAAATTATGATTTCGGAATTGATTGAGTTTTAATCCTGCAGCTCTTTACCTGCAATTATACTTGTAATCAGCAGGGACTCGAATCCATTTAACATCCTCAAATAAGTTCTCAATGTGTTAAAACAATTATTTAAAAAAGGCACAAACACAGAAAAAGCAAAAAGAGAGAAGCGAGGGCGAGGATGTGACACCGTCAGATGGTGCTCAACATTTGGGAAAACAGACTGATGCGCTATTATTATCAAATGGAGTCGAGTGACCTTTTAGCTCATCCATATTGCATCTTCATTTAACTCCAGGCTCGTCCAATTAAAACTTGCATGAAGAATTAGCTCATTGGGTATCGGACTTGTATTTTACTGCCACAGGCGCCATGTTTCAACAAGTCTCCTGGTTTGATCATTAAGGTCTCAAAATGTAGACAAATAGGTGTTTTTTATTTGAGGAAGGGGAAAATCACATGTATTTGGGCCAGCTGTTGTGAGCCACCCCCATCCCTGGTGCTGTACTGTACTGCCCAAATTTAGTAAAAAGTCAATGTTGGCATGTGGGAGTTCTATTCATAGCACTATTATCATATTGGCAGAAAGAAATATGGAAAAAATAGACACAGAAAATTCCAATGTTATTCCCACCCATTCCTAATTATGCAATCTACAATACTATACAAGGCTTTTCAAAATGTGCGTTACATTTAGAGCTCATGTGTGGTGTCCTCAGCTGCTGTGAGTGTGTGTGTGTGTGTGCGTGTGTGTGTGTGAGATAGAGAGACGACAATTGCAGCTTTATGCTCCATATGTGGCCTCTAACAGCTGAGACCGACAAAGCCCAAAACCCAGCCCCGGCATATCCAACCGGTTCTCTACAGGGGCCGGGACGTATCTAATGTGGTATGCTCTGCAGGTTTACAAAAATATACCCACACCATAGTATTTTTCTGAACACATACAGTACATAGTATTAATATTTCAAATTGATTTAGCAAAATGCATTTATTGTCGTATTGGCCAGGGTTATATTTTTGAGCAATGCCTGAATGTCCGCAGTATATCATTAAACCCAGGACTTTCTTGCTGTGAGGAACAAGCGCTAACCACCTATCTAGCTAAAATCTGGAACAGTCTTGTGAGACAGGCTTCTACTCTGACAATGTTCAAATCCAAGTTAAAAAACAGTTCTGGTTAGCTGTGCATACACCTGAAGGATTGTATCTTCACTCTAATGTACAGTGATTATTAATGATTATAATGTTTTTCTTTCAATTTTTACTTTGTACTTTGAGTTGCCTTGTGTTTGAACTGCGCTATACAAATAAAGTTGCCTTGCCGTCATTTAGTTTAAAACGTGTCATACAAACAAAAAGTCTTATTTCTAGGGCAATTGCAGTGTATTTCTCTTTCCATTCGATTGTCATTTCAATTGTCCCAAATAAAGCTTCTGTACATATTAAGATATCATTTGCACAATTCAAGCATTTTTAAACCATATTTTCCGTCACCTTTTCCAGCGTGTACAGTTTGTGATGTTTGTGCTGAGTGTTTGGAGCGGTACCTTGGCGTTAGCTGAAATCTCTTGGACGCCTTTGCTCGCAGCGTCTTTAATGATAGGAGTGATGAGGCCTCGCTCTGTCGCCACGGCGATGGCGATGTGGATGGTGTCGAGTGCGTGTGGTCCGTCGCCCGACCATGTCACGTTCACTTCAGGCATTTCCTAATGGACAGAACAGCGTTCAAGAGGGCTTTGGTTACGGCGAGTGCTTATGTCATCTTTATGTGTTTAAGAGACTTGGATGAGACGGACGGAGATTGTTTCAGTCCATTCGTTTATTGAACACGACAATGTTTACGTCACCACGCAGACATGAAGGCTTCACTCTTCTGTAAAACTTAAAAGCACTGTAACTCACTGTAACTCACACGCCGACATCTGATTGGACATTGTAATAGTTTCTGCAATACGCTCATCTTTCATCTCCTGCCCTTGAATTTTGGTTGATAATTTAATCACTTTCACTGAAATTAAATATTCAGCACTAACATAATTATGATAAAGCAGTGGTTCTCAAACTTTTCATCCAATCAATTCATTTGAAACGACTCACACCACCCCTGTTGAACAAAATATCAGGCAGTTATAATTTGTTGAAACATGTTAAATCAATTGCAGTATTATTGTTTTTGTCGTTTAATGTCGTGAACAAAGCAAACCACAAGATGCTGACTTTATCTTATTAGAAAACAGGTTTTCTTTCACGTACTAAAGAATCCAATTCAATCCACTTTAATTAGAGCAGATTTAATAAGCAAACAGTTCCCAAAGTGCTGCACAGAAAAACGTATATGCAAATGAAATAAGAACTCCTGTGGTCCCCCTGATTATAAAAAAGTTACTAAAACACCAGAAAATGCCGGAAAATGAAAATGATCTTAAGACAAGGCTTGTGGTAGGGGAGGGCAGAGCGTCCCATAGCTTTGGTCCTTGAGCCCTGTGAGTCACTATTTGACACTTTGGGCTGAGAGCTGATTGAAACAGACGATCACCATCACTCGACCAAAGTTTAACAGATTTAAAAGTTTGGTACTCCAGCTTTAAATATTCATACTCTGTTTCAAATAATGATTGGTGAAACACCGTGAAACGCTCTTGGAATTTAGTCTTGAAATCATATTGCTTTCGTTTCTCTAGTCTCATGCCCCCCACTTTGAGAACCACTGTGATAAAGTAAGGCTTCTAACTAGTAATTGTTGTGGAGTTCTGGGGTGAGTTTAGTGTTGGGCGAGGCATAACATGCTTCATTCAATCCAATTAAGTTTATAACTTAAAATAATGCAAACACATTTTGCAACACTGCACAAATGAAACGGGGGATTGTGCGAAAATTAATTAAAATGTACTTACTTTCAGTGTAACAGCCGCTGCCTTGATAATGAAGTCATTAACAGACACTTTTATTTGTTCTGTAAAGACAAAACGCATTAATGAGAACATCTGTTGATCTATTTTCTTTCACCACTAAGCAGATTTTAGAAAACCAACAGACGTGACTAGAAGGATCTACCCAAAACACCCAATGGGCACTTTTTTTGCCAGTGTTTGCGGCTGCACACCGGTTGGACAGGCCTGGCCTTGGCACGGCTGCCAACTGGAGTCCAGAGAGCTGTACCAGACTGTTATGAATGCTGTGAGCAGGATGATTAATGAGCTAACCGTGAAATCTCTCTGTCCCGGAACAAAGAGGCTCGGCAAAAACAACCACCACAGAATCCCCCTGAACACACATGAGCGTTAATAGGTCTGGAATGATTGGACCATTTCCTCGTGGCGCATCGATGTAAGATGTGCACGTTTCAGACTCTCCAAACATGTACAGTATTTGCTGGACTATTTAGCGCACCCGTTTAACCCCACCAGCTAAAGTGTCCACATTTAGGCTGCACTTAAAGATGGGCAACAGGTTTTCATGTACCACTTGACCAACAGCTGATGGAGCAAAACAATGTTTTAACTGGATTCAACATGATTCAGGTGTTTTAATGCACTGTTGACTCATGATGATCAAAGCACTCTGGTAATCCAATCTATTTTGACAATAAACATGCTTCGGATCCCGACTTGTACTTTATAGAGTCAAAATAATAAATCCATAAACTGTTCTGACAGTAGCTGTAATGACATCAAAACAAGTCCTGTGCATTTCCCTGCACTTCCTGCTGAGTCTGTGTCCAAATCCCTTACAAAGTATAAAATGCCTAGATTGGCCGCAGTGCTATATAGACGGCAGAGTTCAAAGAACTTGTAAAAAGTTGTGGCTTATAGTCCGGCAACAATAACGGTATATACGGCAGCCTATTCTATTCCAATATATTCTATATTGTAAAAAGGCCTAAAAAGCCTTTTTGTAAGTTGGGGAGCACATATTTGCGCATCAAACTTGGGAATTAGCCACTTTATTTGTCCACACAGTGGGCTGCTTTTATCTTTGATATAGAGCTCTGTGACGTGCCAGTCCGGAAATCCAATTTACATTGAAAATCTCTATAGGAGTTTTGAGAATAAAAGAGACGATTGAGGCAAAGTAGCCAAGTGATAATTATTTCTACCCACAGGCGGTTGTTTTTCTACACAAAAAAAATGTTCACGTGAACACGTAAACTTTTTAAAGTTTCAAAAATATACATCAAATATAAATATAGGTTTGTGGTCATTTCTCACAAACCCCCAAAAAAGCAAGCTTTCCATATAATATAATATATTGTTTACTATTTTATTTGTTTATTTCTGTACTGTATTTGTCTGGTGCACACTGGTGACTTTTGCAAAGGTATTCCAATGTTTTTTTTTACTGCAAATGGCAAATAAACTGAATCTGAATAACTCAATATTTACACATGCACAGAGTAAGGATTAACTACCTGCTTGTCTTAATTGAAAATGTTTTGTGTTTTAATGTTATGGCCACAAAAAACAAAACCCATGAGCACGGAAACAAACAGGCAACACCCATAGTTCATGTTACCGACTGAGGAGGTGAGGTCGTCATTCTGAAAACAAGATTATCAAGGTATTTTATGCAAGGCATTGAATAAAAAGGGCATATGCTGCACTCAGACAAATGTATCCAGGGCCACAAGCAGCAAGCATTTCCTTAAAGACTTCTCAGTTAGGTTGACTATAATTATTTATTATATAAGTTGCACCATTTTACAAAATACTATACTTCAGTAGTGATGAGACGATATACTCTAAAAAACAAGTTGATCAGTTGGAAGTATAATGTTAGTAGTGATGAATAAATACATATTATATCCGCATCATATACAGTAATATTTTTACTTGAAGCTAAGGGCACCACCAGATTGAAAACCAATGTATATCCATATATGAAAGCCATTAGCCCCATCATTTAACTCAACTCATATGATCACGGTTTTATGCAAATGTGATGTCTGACCATGGAAATATGAAACTGTATATCGTTGCTGTGTATCTTCAATAAAATACAGTAACAATGTCAAATACACTTCTAATATATTCTATTTCTATTCTATTAAATGCCATTCTATGAAAGCAACCGTTATGACATGAAGCTGACCTTCCCCTTTCTATGCTTCTGGTTTATGCATCTCAACCGCACATCTAACTGTGGCAAGAAAAGTGTGGTTAGAAACGGTTTCTAAGGAAGTAAAATAAGGCAATCAGTGTTTGTTTAGGTAGATGCACGAGAGCACGTTTCCAGTCAGATGTTCAACATGCACGGACACGTTTCACAGAAGCATTTACATGGTATACAGTCCTTACACATCCATCACACAACATGCATGCATTTGAAGGCAAGACCAAAGAGTCGGGGAATTCATTATACACGGCGGGATCCATGAAAAAAACATTGCCCACAACACGTGGTGTTCGAAGTCTTGAGGCTGGGACTTCCAGGAGTGATGAGTGTAAAACTGCTGCACAAGCAGGTTGGTAATTGTAATCGCATTTGTTTTAATGAGGCAGCAAAATAAAAACATGAATAATAATGTTGAGCGGGACTGTTAGGGGTTTATATATAAATTATCCTTTAGATCTTATATCAACCTACACTGCAAGTACCATGTAGGATTTGCGGCTTTCAGGAACCAGGGTTTTGTAGCGTATGTATATGCTTCTATTACTGCACAAAGTGATGAAATATGAGGTAATAAATGCTTTAATCAAGAGGTTTTTATCTTAATTTGAGTACATTCTGTCTTTAAACAAGATTATCAATGGGACAAATGAATCTTATTTTAAAGGCAGTCCAAATGTGCTCAAATTAAGATACATTTTGCCAAATTTGTCACTTTTTGTAGTGTGGACGCTAATGATCAACTTTTCACCCAAAGACTGTGAGGAGTGGACAGAACTAACCTGTTAATGGGATATTTGGAGCTGTTGTTTTGAATAACAATGGCTTATAAGTTAAATCGTCATCAGGTTGTTGATATAGTTGAGTAAAACACAAAATAATGTGGTGGTGATGTTGAGGCAATTGCATTTATTATTATTATTATTTATTGCTGTACCTTGAGCTAAGTCTTTGCGGAGTTGCATGACAGCCGCCATGTCACAGTCCACGGTGGCGTATGCGTGGGGGATGGTGGTCTTCGATTGCGTTAGCCTCTGAGCGATCACACGACGCACATTTGTGGCTGGGATTTCAGTGAACGTACCCTGAACAAAGGAACATTAAGAAAAACAGTGGAAGTGATAAGAGGTTAGAAAAAGGCATACACACAAACCATCACATTAGCATGTTTGGATTTTGGATAATACATTGATATTGAAGTGTTTGTGGCAATTTGGGTTTGCAAATTCTTCAAAATGAATTCAAAATGATTTAGGATACTGTGAAAGGTGTCTACACTGCATTACATGTATTATCCCTACACTGTTATCGAACGTAGATTGCTTGAGCAGTTATGTGATCACACCATTTTACTTACTATTCTTAAGTGAGTTAGTAATCACAAGTATCTTTTATTCTTTACAATGGCTCGTTTCACAGACAGTGACAGTCACAAATGCTAACAATTGTTTAGAGCCTTTTTTCCCCATTCACTTCACAAAAGATGGCAGAAGCAGAGACGCTTGTAAGTAAGTAAGTAAGTAAGTAATCTTTATTTATATACCGCCTTTCACAGACCAGAGTCACAAAGCGGTTTACAATTGTTATTATTTTTGGGCACTTGTCCTCTCACTCCACACAGAGATGGGAGCGGGGTCGCCAAACAGGAGGCGCATGCCAGACCTATTGTGCATGTTTTTAGTGGTAGGGGAAACCGGAGTACCCGGAGGAAACCTACGCAGACACAGGGAGAACATGCAAACTCCACTCAGAAAGGCCCTGGTCCGGCCGGGATTCGAACCCAGGACCTTCTTGCTGGGAGGCGAGAGTGTGAATTGTACACCATTCACACTCAATACATTCATACCTATTGTGCATGTTGTACCTATTGTGCAAACCAACACTGCCCAGGGGAGAACATGCAAACTCCACACCGAAAGGCCCCCTCTGGCCTGAGGATCCACCTTCTTGCTCTGAATCACAGGGACTCACCACTGCACCACCGTACAGATGTGCACTTTGTATCCCATTGTTGGTAATAGTCTGAAAAACACCAGTCTCTTTCTGCTTAAGTCTGACCTTTCAAACAGGGCACATTGTCTGCTGGAGATTTCATTGAGAGTGAAGAGACACTATGGTTGGTGCGGTGATACGAGGTGTGGTGCTCACCGGTGCTCCGGGTTTCCCTGGCACAGACAGAGGAGGGATGTTGGGTCTTCTGCCGGCGGGTGCTGATGCTGCAGGAGCGGGAGTGCGGGCTGGGGAGGGGGCGGGGGCCGCTGGACTTGGGGCCGAGGGCGGAGGAGCAGCCACAGGAGGAATGAGCTTGGCACCGGGAGAAGCCTTCAAAAGCTTCATTGCATCTCTGGGAAAAAAAGAAAGAAGGGAAGTAAGAGGGAGATCAAATGACGAAACCCTGGGCTGGTTCAAAGTAAATGCGTAGCAAATTAGATGACAGAATTGCATCTTTTTACTGCAACACATTTGCACTTACATGTACATCAAAATGAAAAGTATTCTAGTGTGCCGTGGGTCTTAATCTTATTTGAAAACATTTTACCGTTTATATACAGAAAGCTGATTCGCTGGGTGATGGTACTATATTTTTAACTGAGATTAATGACTACATGTGAAAACTAGTCATAGAACCAAACAGTTTTGAGTGCTAGGAACTAATTACATGGATAATATTTCATAGTTCATTTTTCTGTGGTTTCGAAAAGTACCTCCAGCTTTAGGGAAATCTTGCCAAGACCAAAATAAATCGCACATCATCACTAAAAGGACTATACCACTACTATATAACGTTACATCTCTACATTGTACATTTGGAAATTCATTATTATTGCATACAGGAGTCGAGATCCGGTAAAAACTAGAAGGTAAAAAAAAAGGTAACTTTGGGTCATGCACCCACTGAAACCATGTCATCAGCAGCGGCGGCGGCGACTCTCCTGGGAACAAACAAACCCGCCAGGCCTAGGATCAGGTGTCAACGAGGGCGTGCGGCAACAACTCATTTGACAACTTCGCCTCATTATGTTCCAACTGATAATGTATGAGCTAATGGCATATTGACTTTCGCTTTTGCCAGCAGAGTTATTAAGATCTTTGGGAAATGTGAGGGTGTGCTTTTGATATTAGTTATTTAGAGCTTTGCAGGGGCTTGGGGCTGGTAGGGGAAAGGTGTCAGATGTGTGGACGTTTCGAGTCGCAGTTGATTGCACTCAATTCAGTCGTCGTGTCCTGACCAGCTGCCCCACGAAACACAGTCCAGGTGCACGTAATGCTTCCTCTCTGTATTGTGTGTATGTGTGGTCAGACGACAGGCCCCACATGGAAATCCCCACTCGGATATATGAGACTTCCTCAACAACTGTCGCTTGAAGACAGGAACGATCATACACCGGTTTGTGTTGGTCTTGATTTGCATGTTTGGCCTACGTTTTCTTTGTTTATCTCGGTGGGCGCGATAAAACCTGTGGTAAGTGTTCATCGCGGCTCTGCATCAGTCAAGTGGAAGTGTGATAAGGAAAAAAGGTGCAAAAAGGAAATGACAGGAAGTAGCAAAAACAGGGTATTTTTCTTTCACATGTTGTAAAATTTAGTGTCGTACTTCAGTCAAATTTGGATTTCTCATTTTTTCCAGTCTATTGGTTTTGTAGTCTATAGTTTAAAACACACTGTGATGATCAGGACACGCCTTATGGACCAATGGCTGAAATGTGTTTTTTTAATCACAGAATTTATTGTATTTGAACTGTTTGATTTTCTGATCTATGTTTGACAATCTATGTATTGACTGTTTTGTGAAGTCCTCCTAGATAACTGCTGTTGTGATTTAGGGCTAATACAAAATTACTTTTTTAACTGACCATTCACGTGTACTAAAGACCAGGCCAAAGGAAGTGACTAGAATCTTAACAAACATAAGCTGCAACCCTCACATGGACATGGGTGTGAACTGAACCAGCAGCATATGTACAAACAAAGCCATAATAAACTGGCTTGTGCTGCCACCTAGGACCCACTGTGGAACGATGAATAAACATATGAATGCTTTGACTACAATGTTAGTTACAATACATTGAATAGAGCGTTGTCAATTATATATGAGTCATTGTGTGTTTCCATCTATTCTCCAAAACATGACATGGTCTAATCCAGCTGAAGTGGGACGCTATTGGTGACAATGAACCTGTTTTTTAGCACTTCCTGTGGGTTACGTAACAAATGATCTCATCCATAGGTTGTGTGACCCATGTTATTCAGGCCCAATAGACAGGCCCCAGTGCACTGGGCAGAGGGAGGGGTGCCCTGCTCTGATGAGAACCACAACAAAAGGAAGGAAACAGAGTCTATTATGGCCTTTTCTCAAGAAGCTCAGGCCATTAGGGGCTTACATTCACAATGCAGAGTAATGTTACTTCAGACTTCAGCGATTTTAAAGAAAAAGAGGGTTGTATAATACATGTTCTATACAGTCATGGTTACAACTAGTGGTAGCGGCTGACTGTCCAATGGCTGAGTGGTTAGTAGGCTTGCTTCTCAGCAAGAAGGACCCTGGGTCCGATTCCATCTTTCTGAGAGGAGTTTTCATGGCCTCCAGTGCCTAGGATTCATCCAGGTGCTCTGGTTCCCCATCCACAAAAAACATGTACAATAGGTTAAATCCTCCGACTCCGTTAGTCCTGACTCCAAGCCTTGCATTGATGTGTCCCCGGGCACTGTACTACCACTGTGCGACCGCAGCTCCTGACAGAGGCACAAGACAAGTAGCATTGAAGTCTATATAACATTCAAAACATGATCAATAGATTACTAAAATTAGTGGACAACTAGTGGCACATTGTATTTCCTAAATCCAAAATCCAATGCCTCGTTTTGATCTGCCTGCTCTTATTTAAGGAATACAAAATAAAACCAAAATCCTTCAGCTCTATGAATAAACAGACACACAGACACACAAACGCAAGTCTAACTATAGGGGCCTTGGGGAAAGAAGGAGGATAATTGCATTCCCTTTTGTGTTTTTTGAGGGCTGATGCAGTAATTGTGGGGAGGGAGTATATAACAACTTAACATTGATCAAATGAATGCATGAAAAAGAAAAAGGGGCTCCTCTTAAGCCTCGTCGAGTATTTCTTCTTTTTTTCCCTCTGGTTCAAGGTCTGTTACTATGGCCACCAGTGGGTCCGGGAGACTGGGTTGCTATGGAGACTGAAGTTGCCTAATGAGATTCCCCAGCAGGGTGTGAGCGGGGTAACGAGAGCATTCAATCAGCTCCCTCCTGACGACAGGTACCTCTGCGAGTGATATAACACGATTAAAGTGACTGAACGCAACACATACCCACATCTACATAAATGTTGCTGTCATCACAGAACCACCAGCCTGATGCGCCGTGTGTGTGTGCGTACATGTGTGTGTGTGTGTGTTCAGATGCCAACAGGTGCCTCCTGCTGATAGGCTAATGTCCTATTTGTGTAAGCAATTTATGGAGGACGGCAGAGGACAACAGATTATAATTAAGACCTTGGTCGCACACAGGGCTGTGTTTACATGTTCAGTTTGTACATCTTCCAAAAAACCATTAATTTCCGCTTTTGATCCTCGAAATCTGGAGAAAAGCCACTAAATGACTGCGGCTTTTTCATCTGAATTACAAAATGCTACACAGTAGGGATAGGCACTATTCACATATGTAGAAAGTGATCTCATTTAGAAGAAGTACAACGTGGTGATCCACAAATAGTATGCAAAAAGAGGTTCAAGATTTATATTAAACCTAAACCTATAATAAGTTATATTAGTATTGGGTGATCTGACATCACCCAAGGTTATAGCCTAACCTTTGACATATCAGCCCACCCCCAAGAAAAAGAAACCCCCAATATCTATCAATCTTCCACTCAATGCCTATTTTGGTGCATGGATGCAAAAGTAAAAACATCACTCCATTTACTCCAACAGAAAACTCTATAATGAACCTATAAAATCTCTAAATGTCTCAATTGTTTTTTTTTCTTTTTAATGTTGTGGTCACTTTCATGCTCCAAAATCTGGAACCATTCTATACAATCAATGCAATCCTTTCCCGTCTCTAAAACATTAAGATTCCATCACTAGTTTTTTTCATATTTTCTAAGCCTTTGTCACAGTTTTAGATCTGCATTTTCAAACAGCAGAGTGAATAAGAAAGGACCACCCTCACTCAGCATATCAGCTTGCAGCCCAAAGCGTCAAATAGTGACTCATGGGGCTCTATCTTTTACAAAATGATGGAAATTTTTCCAATAGGTGGACTGATTTGATTGCAACATTTAACCATTTCAAGAATCTTTCTGTTGGGACAAACAACATGCATTATTTATAGAACACAAAAGTTTGGCGCCAGCTTGATTTGGAAGTCATGTCACACAGTGTAGTTTAGTGGGGAGATCATAGCCTGGAGCCATTGGAGTAAATACACCACTACTATCACCACCAGGGGTTAACCACAATCAATGCAGCTCTGCTATGGAGGGCAAGCTAGCTGCAATAGGCTCTTGTTTTTACAACATTATTCTCAAGATTTATGGTCAAATGATGATTAATCAGAATATGATTTAAAACTTGTTTCAGTGTGTGGGGGTCATGTGGCCTTACTCCTTTGTGATGAGTCCTCTTGGTCCTGTAGCTGTGGCCAACTTGGGGTCAAGGCTGTGAGAGTCCAGGATGTGCCGTGCTGCTGGACTGAGACGCAAGCTGCAGACAGAGACCGTGTTTCAATAAGAATCAACAATGTAGGGGAAAAAACATGTGAAAGTACACTATCCATATTGCTCTAACTGAAAGCAAAAAACATGTTTGAACTGTAAATACAAATAGTTGCTGTTGTTTTGTTTAGGGATGTGACCTTTTTTCTGGAAAAAATGGAACCGAGACACCTTTCTTATCTCCACAGGCTTTTAAAAGAACATAAATCACAAAACATTAGACATTATGCTTTACTATTCTGGCTCTATATTTTTGTATATAGATTTTTGATAGTGTAGAAGTAGCAATTTCAAATTCCAAACACAAATGATCTGTAAAAAGACTTTTTATTTAGAGCTTTTTGTTTCTTAATTTTTTAAGATTTTTTTAAGAGAACAAAAAAGGAATATAGATTTTGTTTATTCTTCAATAAACTAAATATAAATACATTTATTGTGTTGTATTTTAGTTCAAATGTGGCAAGTGTCACATCATATCGAATCGCATGCTGTGAAAAATACCCAGCCTTAATCGCTATTCAACTTAATGGAGAAGACATTTTATCTAAAGCTACCTAAAAAGTGTCAAAATACACTTAATATATTCAAATGTGTTCATGAAACTAAAACTGCCGCGGGTAATGAAATTCTACAACCTTAAGACTGTCAAAATGGAGACCTGTTTTTGAGATCATTAACCTAATACTGACAAAAGCCCAGTGTTTGTTTGTAGAGTTTGACATAATGGCGCACATTCTGTCGCTGTCACCTTTAATTGTTTCTGATGTGATGCATGTGCCATTTACCACAGGGCACACGATCGATGCAAACGTCAGAGCTGGTGGTATTGACGTGTCCTCGCTCTCTCCTCCTCTGTGGGTAATCTTCCATATATCAGACGTGCAGCAAAACCTTTCCCCGGCAGAAACCCGAGGACGCCTGAACTCAGCACTAAATGTTTGCATAACAAACAGGTCGCGTTTGTTTGGAAGGAAATCCTCTTTACCTTTGCATTTATTGTGTAAAAATGCAGCTTCTTGGTCTAAAGATGTGTTGTAAACTGTATTTGCCTCCATGTTTTGAAGTATTTAGAATATTAGCGTTGGGTTAGCTAAAGGAAGAAAAAAATATGTGCCATTTTTCCTAATTTGTGTATATCTCCACTTTTAAAACAAGTATTTCCAATGTTACATGCAGGTTCTGTCTTAACTGTACTGAAAATGTGTGTATATATAGACCATGATATCTTGTTTCTTCAGCAGATGTTTTAAGATGAAAATATACTAAAATCAAGATAGATATATTTGCTCATCGAATCCTTTTTTAGAATTATTGCAGTACATTTGATCCTTTTGTTCAGTACATTTGTGACGTGTTTAACAATGAAGCCTTAGCATGTAATATGCATTCTCCTTTCGATAACATAAGGTACATAATTTGCTTTATTATTCTTTGGGTCAATGGTGCATTTCATGGTCCAATTTTTTTTCTGCCAGCAGACCGGAGTTGTGGATCCATCTGCCCACCTCGTGTCAATATGTCACAATTCAAAAATGTTGTTTCCATCACTAGATATTACACCAAAGTGACTCCTACGATGACTACAAACACGCATTTGTATACAGTGGATTAACTCACGGTCCAGACGTGTGTTTGGGAGTGGGGGGATGTTCAGGCGCGGGAGCTTCTGGAGCAGCAGGAGTCTCGGTTGGAGCCGTTTGAGGAGGGGGAATCTCCACCTGCTTCCAGTCCTGACCCTGCTCCACCATCAGGGCGATCAGAGTGCCCAAGCGAACGCTCCGACTGCCCTCCTCCATCTAAGAATAACAACAAGGGCACATTGAGTTGTTTAAATGTGTCGTCTGTACTATCCCAGTAAAATACGTTCTCAAAAGAGTACCACTTGTATGCAGATTATTTTAATTTGAAACTTCCAACGTATTTTGAAAAACCCATATATTTAATGTTTTTTTTTTTATTGTGAAGAACTGGGTGGAAAAGCAATAAATATGACAAGCAGTTCACCTTTAACCCAAAGACTGTAAATGGTGTGCGTCACCCATATTGTTTGCCTTATCGAGAGAGGCTGATTAGAAATAGCCCAGACACTGTGTAGGTGGGAATCTGGAGCTAAACTTGTGTGTAGCAATGACCTAACAACCAAACGGCCAATCAGGAGCGGCGCTGGGCTGTTCGCTCTTGCTCGAGCTCGTTTTTTTGGGACAGAACACACCAGATTGGTCAGTTGTTAGGGGATATACCGGTAATCTGGATTTACAAAGACATTATCAAAAAATATAAAACACCAGGATAATGTAAAGTGACAAACCACATCTTCAAACCCGAAACGGTGAGAGTGATGCAAACGTTAGGGTAAGGAAAGTTTACTTGCTAGTCAAAAAAAGGCCCTATTAGCAGGTTAGCATTGTACATCCCTACAGTCTTGGCTTTAGTCATGCACTAAATGTACATGATCTCTCTGAAGTAGACCGTTTAGCAGTTACTTTCTTAAGGAAGTGGTTACATTTGTATACATTGCACAACCCGTAGCGAAACGATCGTTTTGTGGTCCACATTTATCAAACACCAACGAGGGTCTATTCGTCATACGCAAACCTAAACCCATTCTATTCCCATCACTTCATTACAAAGCCTGCTGCCCTGACAAACAAGGCAATAGCACAACCGTGAATGAGGGTTCCTGGAGTGCGATGGATGTATTTTCACGCTGTTGATAGCTGTCGGCCATTGATTGACTATCTTGTTTACGTGGGTAAGCCAGATCCACTGTCGGCGCCACAATCTCCCCGCGCACGGTGTTGTTCCTCCCGCAGTATTGATCGGCGTAAATGAAAAAAGCCGGCCGCTGCGCGTTGGGACGGTTGCCTTAACTTCATCTCCTGTGAAAAGGGATCGACTTTTGAGAGCCACTTCTTTAAAACGATCTTGGCTGAAACACCTCCAAAAGAAACCGCCCCAAAAAAACTTGCCATGCCTTTTTAGTCTATTATTATTTTCTTTCAGAGCCATCTCTTTATAAAAATCACATAATGCTTTTATTTGTGTAAGTATACCTCGGCATAATGACTACTATTGACATGGCGAACAACTACCCCCACATTCCCTACTCAAATTGCTATCACAAATAGCGCGACTATTTACTGGATTGGAAACAAGCAAGTGGAGAAGGAACATCTGTGCTCACCAAGTGGGAAGACAGAGCTTGATTTAAATAATTATTACTGCCAGTGTCATTGGAAGTGTGGCTTTGAGACAAAACGGCACGCGACGTAGCTCCATCTTAGGTCTTTATGGAATCCATACGTGGATAGTAGTTCATCACTTGCATGTCCCCTGAGAGGTGATGGATGAGGGTTGGGGGCACATTGGCTCTACATGGATACATCTATCGTTCTCATGTTTTTATTTTCCCCTCTACTGTTTATGCAATGGAGCAAAGGCAAAACAGTGCCATATGCAAAGCGATATTAAGCATCTACCCTGGAACAACCGCGCCCCCAGTTCTGGCATGTATCCACTCCGCTTCCTGAACAGCTTGAGACCTTTGCAAAAATTAAGCATTGTTTTTTTGTTCACTGGTGATGATGAATGTCGAAATTGCTCATTAGGCAGCACATTTCAGAATTATGATGCCTTAAATAAATGTGAATATAACTAAACTTTTTTTTTTTAATTAATTCCATGTTTTATTGGTGATGTGTAACGTAGATTATTCAGAATTTTTCACAATATTAAGAAATATGCTGGGTAAATGAGAAATGAGCTCAACACTGCCATCAAATGGAGTACAACCAAGATTCCTTTTCCTTCCATCTTTTCTCTCATAGTCCCACATCGCCTCAACTCATGTTTGAGCAATGTAAAATTTACTGTTTATGGAAAAATATACTGCAAGCAAAAGTAAAAAAAAAAACACTTGTCCTCGGGCTGGCTCTTAAGACTGCTTTATGCTCGATGCGAATATATAGTGGCAACACAGAAACACCGATTGAAGGATAATAGTGGTAAGAAGGCTGTTCTACATGAATGAGCTGGCGTTTAAGAATGAACATGTGCTGTGAACTGTGATAAACATCTCCACATTCATACACTTTCTGATGATATAAATAGACAGAAGCACTGCCTGCCAGACGCACATCTTTAAATGGTTTTACGGCATCAGTGGAATCCGGCTGATGTGGTGGAAAGGGCCATTGAGGGGACATCACCCAGCGCATCACAAATACATTTAATTCATTACAAGCGATTTGTCCCGTTTTGTGTTTGCTTCCGGGGTTTCAGTTGTTAAATTGGTGAGTTTATAGAATCCATAGACCCCTGATATTTTGTTTGTTTGTTAAAGCTTTATCAAGGGGCAAAAGATCACATACAGGTAGTACACGCTGAAGGGTATGTGATGTTTCATGTGTTACCAGAAATGAATATTGTAAACATTTGAATCTATAACAAGGCCAAACATTATATATATATGGCATTGCTTGGCTTATTGTGGTGGTCTCTGGTATTATTGTTTAAAATGTTGTAAATAAATGTTAAACAACAAGAGCTGAAGTATTTCTGTGGGGCTTATTTATGTGCCTGTACACATAATGACTTGAGAGGACTGTTAAAATTGATCGCTGAGGTGATGGAAGGTGAAGAGGGAAAGTGAGGCTGAAGCTGGAACGTGTTGCTTTTTTTCCCTATGTCGCTAAGCACATAAAAAGATGAAGATTTCACCTACATTTATTACTCAACACTCCGGTCATACCATACATGTTCAACCAATAAGAACTCGAATCCTTTAAGAATGGCTTTGCCTGCACTTTAACAATGGGTGTTGATTGATTGCATCCAGAGCAAATGTTCAAATCGGAGCGCACAGGGTCATGGCGGAGCACGGCAGTAAGGCTATGATGAGATACAGTAATCTACGCTTTCAGGTTGCAAACCCCCCCCAAAGACCCACCCCGCCCACCCCAACTCAACATCTGAATATACCATCCACACTGCCCGTACACAACCCGCGAGCTGTGGTTTAAAATCGGTGGAGGGCTATGGTGACAGTTGACCCCCATAAATAATGTCTGCAGAGCGAGGGATGTGCCTTGGGCTGTTCACAAGCCAGTAATTATCCCATTCTCAACATTAAAAACCTGTTGGGAAAGCTACGCGCCTACCCTTTGATGAGCTAATGAAGTTTGACCCGGAGAGTGCGTCTGCAATCGTTCGCCATCCTCCAACAAACTAACTGCTGTTTTTCTTATTAAATCGGCTTTCTATGAATAAAAGGGGAAGAGTGCTCAGGGGGGCTTATCTAATACAGACCATCTTTCTTTGCCAGCTCCAACCGCAGAAGACCCTACCCCCATGTTCTTGGGCGGTTGTCATGGAAACTGCCTCGTGCTCGTAGTAGCACGAGACCAGGATGGAGTAAGGGAATGTAAACGGCGTGGGGAAATTGGATAGAGTACCGCAAACAACTGCACAAGCAACTCACCAATTTGTGTTAATGGGCAAGACGCTGCAGAGCAAATTGAATACATAAAAAAGGTTGTCCATAGAGTGAAAGGTAAAGCGTTCATTCAATTTGACACGTAAATGTATAAAGCCTTATGGTCCAAAAATATTTACAGTATTATTGTTGAAAAATAACATTATAAATAACATTTATAAATAATGGCTGGGGTATTGAAATTGGTATTGGGTATTTTTAAGTACCCAATAGTACTTTTAAAAAAATAGTAGAAAGTAACAAAATAGTTTGAAATTGTGAAGGACTCAAGTTTTTTTTTTTTTTTTTTTGTGTGGACAAAGTCAAATAAAAGTATTTCCTCAGTCACTCCTCAAGCCAGGTACTACTGTTGCAAACTCATTAATTTCCCTACCCATTGTCATCTTGCAAAGTGTGACAAATTCCAATAATTGGGTTTAAAAACAATTAAAGAGATGACAAGCCAACACACCACCTGTCTCAAATGTGTGCAAATAATGCCCATTATTTCTCAGCCATTGCATCCTGAATGAGAATATCCTTGAGATCAATAAACAATGATGAAAGAATGTTCTTGTTTTCCCTTCAGCGGCTGAACGTGCAGTGCCAGTGAGAGGTAACGGATGGTGGTGTCTTTGACAGCTCATTAAAAATTCAGACCACAAACAGAACTATGGGGGTTGGGGTGTGGGGGGGGTAGCCGCTGCTGGACACTGCCGTCAGATTACAGTGGGAAGAGATGAAACGGGGAGGGCAGAAGTACAGGGGATGGGACGCCTGGCTTTGCAGAATCACACAGACAGAGTTTACAGAGAGTGCACAGTAGGATACATTAAAATTATGTTATCCGTTTAAATCACTTCACGCTTGAGCAAGACGTTTTGACCATTTGTACTCCGTTTACACTGGCATGAAACAGGAAGTGATCTGGATCCTTCTGAGATGGGTAGCAGATGCATTTCAGAGCACAGGAACAACCATGTCTTTGGTAAAAATTTATGTATTTGTATATTTAGGCCTCTCACCTCTATTTTTTCATTGCAATACGTTTGTGTGTGTATGTTTTGGTTTAAGCAGATTTTAGGGGAAAGCCAAGAAACATGAAGCGTTTAATTGCGCTGTGGAAATTAAATGCTGTGATTTGGATAATTACTGTTAAAACGTTTAAGTGCAAAGGCAAAGTTATGAGAAACCTTTGAAAGTGCCACAAGAGTCCATCGAGAGTACTCTACATTCTTATGCTTACATACTCGCCTAAATAAATGCCTAATGCAAGTCAAACACAAAACACTTATACTTAAGCACTTTTCTCACTTACCAATATCTTGGCCAGTACACCATCTTCATTAGAGTCCAGGGTTACCACTGCTTTATCGGTTTCTATTTCACAAAGGGCATCACCTGCTGCTACTTCTTCACCTAGAAAAAAAAATAGTAAAAGACAATGGTTTTGTTGATTGATTTTTTTTTCCTGCACACATCAACTTGAGTAGCATTTTGGGACAAGACGGGTGTCCAAAGAGCTTTGATTTGGAATGAGTTTCGAATAGGACGCCTGAACTAGAGAAGAAATGTGCGATATGGAAAATAAGTGAGTCTGAAAGGAGTTTGGATCTCTGCTGTAAGATGACAAAAGGGACATGACTCAACAGACAATGGCCTCGGCAGAAACTAACCAGCATGAGATAAGAAAAACACGCGATTTAGGAATGTCCACCCCAGAGCAGACATCTGAGACAGCAGAGGTCGAATGGAGTATTAATCACAAAGATACCAACCTTCAAACCTGGACAATGATCGGCCCCAGAAACAAGCATCTTTGCCTCCCTCTCCGGCAAGATCAAAGATCAAATCGGGTCTGTATAATCTCCGATAAGGCCTGAGGCATTCTTCCCAGGCAGACTGGCGATCCACCAACGGCGTTCTGACGCCCCCCAGTGGACACGGGACGCTAGCACACCCGAGATGGACAGTCGAAATGATCGCTCCGTGAAGCCATTATTCTGATAACCTTTACTGTGCTCTACACGTGTGTACCATTGTCTGTAATGTAAATGCGCTGTGTGTCTGTATATGTGTTATAACCGTCGGTGTCAGTGATGCATATGTCGTTATAACCATGTCTGTCACGGTCTGTCACGAAAGATTTCCAGGGAGGCGCACAAAGATGACGTCATAGACGCGCCCCCCTGAACTGGGAAAAAAAGCACACGCAAGTCGAAAAACGACCTCTTGGCATTTCTAATGAACCTAACAACTACACGGTACGCGTCTCCAACGCGACCTCTGGGCCTGTAACAACTTTGGGCCTCTATCTCCACAAGGACAGCTGCCCACACTCGCTGTCGGAGACGACAAACTCTCATCAACCAGCCACCCTCCGGCTTCTGGACTGGACGTCTACACATGCGGGCGCTTTTCTAGGCGGCGTGTGTGTGTGTGGATTTCAAGTTTTGCTGCGACCTGTGGCCTTCGTCTCTCCTGCTGGAACAAAGGAACACGTGGACTTCCCCCCCTTTTCTTATTCTTCAATTCTTCAATACGGACTACGTCAAAGTAAGACTGTTCTAATTGCCAGGGTAATGTGTGATTCACGTGATATGTTTAACATCTCTGTTTAATGTGACCAAACACCTCCTCGTTGATTTCCCGATTTCGTATGTAGTCAATAAACCCACGATAAACTTAGTCATGGTCAAGTGTCCTTTTTATAAATCTTTTGATATCCCTGGCTGATTTCGAACTCAAGATCTATCAGATTGTGAGACTGATCGAGGCAGATTAGTACTGGATCTGTTGTAGATGTTTTCAAAGTCTACTGGTGCCCTTAAATATAAATTCAGATCCCTTTTAAGGAACAGCGAGACTCCGACCTGGAGACTAGCCGCTCCACATTCATTTTTCCTATCCTACACTGCCTACATCTGAAATCGCACATTCCCGATGGTCCAATGCACGAGATACAGATTATAGTGTATTAGTATCCCCCAATGTAAGACAAATAGCATTAACTCATGTTTTACTGTCACACATTATGCTTAAACCTCGTTAGTTTGAGTATGCTTTAAATAGAATGCAAGGAAAACCAGCAGTTGTGTCAAGGGCAATTCATAAACGTAGTCCAAAATCTATAGTCCTATAGATTAATCTATAGTAAATCTAAGTGACCTGTAACAAATTAAAATGTTCTCCCCAAATGATCAATATTGTTTGTCAAAGTACTGAATATTCCCATGTAACCTATACAGGAAAGAAAGTAGTTGTTTGGCTGAATCTCTCCTGCAGACAGATACCGGAGTAGAACAAACTGCTTTAAACGAAAAGGGTAGACGAGGTAAAGATCAACATAATTTTTTTTTTTATAGTGACAACTTGAAATGTAGTTTAGCACATAGATTTAATATTGTAATAAAGAAACAGAATTGAAAATATAAAACTACAGTTTTAAGTAGGGGTGCAACGGTTTGAAAAAATCACGGTTCGGTTCGTACCTCGGTTCAGAGGCCACGGTTCGGTTCATTTTTCGGTTCATTTTTCTAAAAAAAAGTGGTGTCTTTTTAATAAACACAGCTCATGTGGACTCGGCACCTGCTCTGACTGCCCCCACCTGCCCTAGAAATGAATTAAGAGGAAGGAAATGGATGGATGGATGGAAGGCATATTCCATCCATCCAATTATGTCTATTTAACATAATTAATGAAAAACAACACAAAGTGCAACATAAGAAGGCACTTTATGAGGATATTTACCCTCATATATTACACCACCTTCCTGATTCTCCCAAGGAGGGGGTCCATTCTGGGCCCAGCCTCATTCACTGCATTTATTTAATTTTTGGCATTATCAGTTGTGACTGGGATATTAGTACTGGGCCTTTGTCTTCCATTCCTCCGCTGCTGTGTCAGAACCTGCGCTGTGTGACGGTGTGACTGTCGTAGAGGGGGCGTGTCTGCAGCGCCAGACTCTTCATCTCCCAGTCTGCGGTGATGAAGTGAGCGGTTCCGCTCATGGATCTATTATAGGTTCCGCGGGACGTCCAAGCGTCAGTCGTGAGCGCAGCTGAGGATGCGCGGGAGAGTTGACTTTAGCCCGGTCTGACTGTGCGTAAAGGAGCTGCTTAAATGCCGCGACAATAGGTGGTCGTTGAGACGCTTTTTTCACTCATGTCTTTCTTGTGCCACAGTGCTTACACATCGTGACAGTTTTGTCGAATATTAATTATCAGTGTAGTTACAGTGAAGCCAAAATGCTCTCATACTGGGGATTTAAATGACGCAGGGCTTTCAAGCTCCTCCGTTCCTCCGCTCGCAATGACCGCGCTGTGTGTGGACTGAACAACGTGCGCACAACTTTTTTTTCATAAATCAAACCGCGGATCACGTCTGTACCGAACCGAAGACGTTGAACCGAACGGATCACGGATCAGTGATGAACCGTTGCACCTCTAGTTTTAAGTAAAAATATTCAGAGTGATCCATGTTTGATTTAACCATTCATCTGAGTTTTCACTGAGACAGCAGCACATGGCAACACAGCTCAGCGGCCAATCAGAATGCCACTTGCTGCCTCATGATAGATGAAACTGTGGTCGCGGTGCTTGGCTGAGCGGAGTTGCTAAGCAGTGATGAATAGTGACAGCAGTGGTTTCTTTGAGCCAATTAGCACCGAAGGGCCCTTGGGTGCTCCCAGCACTGAGCCCTCTGCCCTATACAGACAACTGATGTCATCAAAGTACCAGTGAACCATTACCGCTCCTGATCACTCTGCTCTTTCTCAAGAAAAGACAGAGGTAAAGCTATTGTGAATAATATAATAACTGCCCCACAGGGACGGCACGCGGACATTTACACCTGATACAGTGTATCTTTCGTTCAATCCATTGCATTATTGGCAAGGCAAGGCAAGGCAAGGCAAGTTTATTTATATAGCACAATTCATACACAAGGCAATTCAAAGTGCTGAACAGAACAAGAAAGCATTAAAATCATAAATAATCACAGTACATTAAAAAAAAAGATAAAAATATAAAATCCCTCAGTTGTATGCACAGCTAAACAGAACTGTTTTCAACCTTGTCTTAAACATTGTCAGAGAGGAGGCCTGTCTCACATCTTCAGGAAGACTGTTCCAGATTTTAGCAGCATGAATCTGAAAAGCAGCCTCCCCATGTTTAGTTCTGACTCTGGGCACTAACAGGAGTCCAGTCCCTGTGCTCCTCAGAGTCCGGGCTGGTTCATATGGTACTAACATGTCACTAATATATTTGAGACTTGTACACAAGCAGAGCTGTTTTAAAGTCTATTCTCTGAGCCACAGGAAGCCAGTGCAGAGACCTGAGAACTGGACTAATGTGGTCGTACTTCCTGGTTCTAGTCAGGACTCGAGCTGCTGCATTTTGAATGTACTGCAGCTGTTTTACTGCCTGTTTGGACAGACCTGTGAGCAGGCCATTGCAGTAGTCTAACCTACTGGAGACAAATGCATGGATAAGAATCTCCAGGTCTGCTTTAGACACTATGTTTTTGATCCTGGCAATGTTTTTTAGATGGTAAAAAGCTGCTGATGTTACTGATTTGATGTGGCTATTAAAATTTAAGTCTGAGTCCAGTATTACCCCTAGATTTCTGACCTTGTTTGAAGGTTTTAGGGAGAGAGACTGTAGGTGACAGATGACGCTCTCTCTTTATTGATGTATTGTGATCTGTGTTTGCAAATAAAACAGTGGAATTTTTGGCATTCCACATTTTCTTTCCCTCTCTTAGAAGTATGAATAGAAAGTGTTATGTTCTATAGATATTTGAATCATGTTTTGTTTTTTTAGAACACTTGTAGTGTGTAGTATAGTCAAGTGTAGAGATCAAGTGTTTGCGAGTATGTCGCACACACAGGTTAGCTCCAGGATTGATTAATATGGCCCTTTACTCTAACCCATATTTAACCTGGAGCAGCCCCCAGGTAAAATAAGTTTGAGAACACTGATTTACAGAAATGAAAGAGAAGAGGAGGTATGTAGTCGGATAGTTGACAAAATAGAGATTGATACCTTCTTTCTTGAGCCATTTCACGATGCTCCCCTCCTCCATGGTTGGGGAAAGAGCTGGCATCTCCACCTTGAGTGGGGTGACCCCTGCAGGTTGCAATTCAGGTGTTAACAAAAACATTGGATTTGCTTCAAAAGTAGCCAATTTATTTCAAACATTTCCATTTCAATATATAACAAATTCTCCCCCAAGACAAGTCAGGTCAAAAATAGAGAAAAAGGAAGTTGGGTTATCCAAGATATAACATACTATTTTAGCCACCGTTCAGTCAGAACCGCCACAGCCATCATGATGCACAAAACATTTAAGTTGGCATAAATGGCCGATGAAAAAGCCCCCCCGACAGGTCTGTTATGCAACTGATGTTGCCTCACCCTACACCAAAGGCTAGTGAGGTGCAGGAGCACGTATTGTCCCTAAAGGCAGCATCACACAAACAGCTGTACTACTCCAGAAGTCAGAGTTCACTGGGACAATGGGCTCAGAGCCACAACAGACAGCCTTTTCTTTAAATAGTTTCAAGCACTCAGCACTGATGTATGTGCTTATTTGTTACATCATTATTCTGTATATATGTATGTAACATGTTCATACTAAGATTGCTCAAATAAAAAAAAAACTGGGTTTGGCAATACAAATTTGATTAAAAATTAAGTGTCCGAGTGGGTAGTGCTCAAGAAGACTGTGGGTTCGATCCGGGTTTCATCTGTGTAGAGTTTGGATATTTCTCCCCAGGTTTCATCTCGGAACTCTGGTTTCCTCAACCATCCAAAACATGCAGCAGTATGAATCTGGTGAGTGAGTGAATGGTGTTTTTCTGAGAGGCAAATAGCAGGTATTGGATGCCTCACTCCCGTCACCACAGAATTCAAACTTGTGGAGTGTATATGGTGGAGAAGTGACAAATCTGTAAAGCATGTCCTTATAGGTAAACATTTTACCTACAATTAGCTATAAATCATTTAACAATGCATTTTCAAGTTAAGAATTATCTCCAATTAAACCAGCTGACAGGACGAAATATGCTGAGAAATTTAGGTGGTAACAATTGTATGAGCCTGAACAGAACAACCCTGAATGACTAAATGAGAATTGAGTGATTTTTTGTGAACTGTCTTTAACCATCAACAACATTTCTGAAAAAAAACAAACAAAAAAAAACACTGTGTTGCTGCCATCTGCTGGATATTGTCATAATGTGAGTGGTCTCAAAAGTGAATTATTATTAATACAAATGCTGACTGATTAGATTGACATCATTATCCATGAAAACCTCTCCCTTTACAGTAGATCCAGAGGCTACAGTTACTTAGACTCTATAGTGTTTACATAGAGTCTACTAATTACTAAGAATAAGGAGATTTGTTGTTGAGTTTTCAACAGTGTATAAAGTTCTTCAAAAAACAGCTATGACCAAAATGTAACACGTGTATAATATTGCTGTGGTTTCCTTTTTAAATAAAGTTACAGGATCATATATAAATAATGACGCACACGCATTAACTAATTCCTCCGCTTAGGACACTTTTGGGAACTGATCAATTTAATATCGTTGTAAATTTGGGAAAATGATTGGACTGAACAGTTTGCTACAGTTGGTGACTAACTAAATACTGACAACCATCATGTCTCACAAAGGTCTGTGGACTGTCCAAATCTGCTTTTTGCAGTGCATCAGCTATAAGTCAAAATGCACGGTTGCTGGGAGCATCCTCCGTATCCTGAATATAAGGTCAAAGAGACAAATATAGCTTGTTATTAGCACATCCATGGTTATTAGCAAGATACCGACGGGTGACAGACCCTTTTCTTTAGCTACATTGTAATGACAGGACTTACCCAGACAATAAGCAGACTGAAACAAATGCCTTGCGCGTTCTTGACATGACTGTAGACCCCAGACACATTTATTGAACTGGTTTAATTTTAGTCCAAATAATATCCCCTGACGACCCAAACGCAAGGAGGCCGCCATATTGTCCTCCGCTGGTGAGACGTGCCCGCACACATGCCTGACGGAAAAGGATATGATTTACAAATAATTATGAACGTTAATTTTTTTAATCTCCAAATCATCTAGATGATACAGAAAAATATAATATAAATAGACTAGAAAGCTTATTCTACTATAGTCGTTGGTTTTCATAAGACTTTTCCAAAAAATATAGAACTACAACGATCCATGGACTACAAGGATGGGTCCTAAACTATCATCTGGGCTGCGTTCAAAATCATAACAAAAATGCTTCCTACTATATCTTTCCTTGTCTTTAAATTATCTTGGAATGGATTCATATTTGATCAAAGTGGCATAAATCGTTTTTGACCTGTATCTCATCTAGCCTTAAAAAAGCGTAAGAAATAAAGATGCTAGGAAGAACAGATGCGATTTTAACGTCAACCTGCTTTTGTCTCTGACTGTTGCTGCTCTCTGCTGGATATATGCTAATACTACACATATTAGAACAACTTACTTTTATTTTATTTTGCTCATTATAACTTTTTAAAACAGTTTGACTTTCAGAATCACATAGTCTCTAAATAACATTCACAGATAGCATACCTGCCTAATTAATTGTTTGGAAGGAATGTGATGCAGCAGAGACAGTAGGCCTATGAACATTCAAATAAATGAAGGGACGACAATTTTCAGTGGTTGGTGAATTGTCAGCCTTGTAAAGTCCTTTGAGACGACAATTAAATTATTTAATATAGTGAATTTATAAAAACAACAACATATTCACTTGACAAAAACAGGACATTTTCTTAGTTTATTATTGATTCACTGGTATCCCTAAATCGGATAATATTGTATCTCCAATGGATTCTACTTAAGCTACAAAACAACTTATTGAACTTCTTAAAATGTAAATGTCACACTCCAACAGGTACCCCAACGAGTTACAAATCTTATTTGTGTGTTTCTTTTGTACATGAACATTTGTGCAGCCAATATTACATTAAAATCTCTCTTTATTCAATGCCACTACAATCTGAGGAAATTATCTATTCTCCTCACTCTAAATACTAAAGCCCTTACACATTTAAATAGCATGAACAAAAATAATAATTGTGCTTGGATTAAGAACATAGCTGCACGTGCACCAACGTTTTGGCAATGTGAGATGAATTCCCCAGCAATGGTGCAGATAAATAGTTATACTGGTGCCAAGCATTTACCCAACTGATCGTAAGTTCCACACTACTGGTCCTACAGGTTTAACTGTGCCTTACCAAATTTCAGCAGCACCTCTTTCTGGCACTGCATTGTATAAACAAAACTTAGGATAAGACAAAGACACAGACTGAAATGTCCCCACTCTGGGGCAAATAAACGATCTTTTAATCTTAAAACAAACAACACCAGCATATTAGTTGTATACATATAAGATACTGTTAGCAACTAAAGTGGAATAGCTTGCATTACAGAAGGCTATAAAAACAGACTTCTGTCTCTGTGTATAGATTGGCGGTGTTGATTTGCCTAACTGTTGGTTTTCACTACATGGGTTATTGTGTCTCAGCTACTCCTCTAAACACACATGGGCACAACCTGATAACGTGTTGTACTTTTAATGCTCCTCTCTCCTTGTATTGAGCTGTGGGATCCTTCGTATCATGCAATGATTTTTGGTCATGCAAAGAAACATACAGAGTTTAAAATTAATATTGAGTTGAAATTGAAAATGTTGCTGAAAATAAATTCTCAGGTGTAATCATGGATACAAAATTGTCATGGAAAGCCCATTTAAGTTATGTGAAGACAAAAATAGCTAAAAACATCTCAATCATGAACAAAGCGAACCATCATCTTTATTTTCATGCACTACACTTTCAGATACGCTCTCTTTATTCAAGGCTAGGTTTAAAACAGTCCTCTTTAGTTTAGCATATGGCTAGGAAGGTAAGACTCGGAGAAGGTTAAACTCCTCAGAGTGTCAGTCAAGCTGCATAGGGAGTCAGTTTGCTGGGAGAAGTATGGTAACTTGAGCACTATCCTCTCCTCCTTCCTACTTTATCTACTTTATCTGTTTAGCATTTTTAGGATTTTGACTGTAGTTTGTTCATTGCTATTCACCCGTTGTCCCATTGTCTGTTTCATGGTACGATGACGGGATCCCTGAGCCTGGCTTCCTCCATCTACACCTGCGGACTGCCCCGCCCGACCCGCCTGGGAGTGCTTCAGTCCTGCACCGGACCTGTCCACGTTCAGCGGCCACTGGTCCACGTCCTGTAGCTAGCTTAGGTCCTAGATCATTAGCCTGTCCGTCCGGAGGAGCGGATCCCTTTCTCAAATGGGTCTCCCTCCCTGTGGGTTTCCATAGTGCTCCCCAAGGTTTCTCACTTTTTCCCACTGGGTTTTTTAAGAGTTTTTCCTTGTCGATGCAGGAGGGTCTTGTTGGACAGTTAGTGTCCAACAGAAAGGATTGGTGATGATCAGGACACTTTAGCATTCTACAACATGTATGGACATTTTCTTCTGTGTGTGCTTTATATTCTCCATGTGTTTTAACTGTTAATTCTCTGACCTGTGTTGGTGATTTCAATGGTTTTGTTAAGTCCGCTGAGATTACTTCTGTTGTGACCTAGGGCTATACAAGAATACATTGTATTGTATTGTAATTGTATTGTACACACATTATATTGTTTGTTGGTGTTACCCTACCTAACATACTGTGTTGAAGTGTGGGGTAAATTCCCAGACCTTGTAAAATTCTACACCATATTATCATGTTATTCAAAGCATTTCACAAATGGTTACCTTAAAACATAAAAAAGTACTGTTTCCTTATCATTTTTGGTATTTACTGTTCATTGCCATTGTTATTTTTTGTGTGCATACAGTTGTTTTGTCCTCATAGGGTTTACATTGACATTTTTCTTATGATCAAGATGTTTAAGATACTGAAATCTGTGCTAAATGTACGTTGGAGCTAATAGGAAGCCTTTACTTTACATATGTAATGAGGGGTGGGATTAAATAAGTTTTTACTTCTTCCCACTACTTTTTGAGCATCCATAAGTTATCCATCCATCCATCTTCTTCCCTTTAATCCATTTCTGGGTCAGGGGGGTAGCAGTCAGAGCTGCACCCATTACACTTAGCACCAGCCCCTCACTGATCCTCCTGCAGGTGGTGAGTCCACAGGAGCTGAGATCTTTCAGTGGGGGCTTTGGGCAAAGTGGGGTTAAGTGTCTTGCCCAAGGACACAACTACACCAGACATCAGTGGGAGTCGGTGGAGAAGGTGTCGAGGAGGGAAACGAACCCACAACCTTCAGGCCTAAAGGCCAATGCTCTACCAACTGAGCTACTGTCGCCTGCATCCATAAGTTATGTTAGTGTTATTTACTCTTTTTGTTATATTTTGTAAACAAAAGTTGTAAGTTGCTTGTGATTATTTTGTACTAATCATTTTTATGCCCACTTACTTGCTTGAAATAAATATTAATAAGAATAATAATAAATCATGGTTCCTAAGAAGGGATTTAGCAGTCTATCTCAAGATACATAAGACTGTTTTCAGAATGATCCAACAAAGGAACCTTGTACATTTTGTTCTCAATATTACTGGAAAAACTGCTTTGCAAAATGCTTCTTGCATTCTCATTGAGCACAAGGTGTCATCTTCTTGTGTCCATGTAAATCGAACGGTTACAGGTTGTACTTTGGAAATTCAGCGATAATAAATCTGCCTGGGAAACAAGGCCTTCCTTCGTTAACTAATTCTTCATTTACCTCAAGTGCACTAAATGTGCAATGTACTCGACACTGATTCCTACAAACCCCATGTGAAAAATGAGGCAAACTCAGTCAAATTAGCCACTACGTAATAGGACTATAACATACTAATCAGTGTCTATTATTTTCCTGCAATCAGAAACAATCAGTAATATACATTTGCAAACAGATTTGAATGAATACAATCAAACTGAAGGCCACTTTTAATCAGATTTACTCAAGGAGGTCCTGGCAATTAATTGTATGCATGATGGCTGTACTTTTAAGTGTCATAATCAAAACCGCATGCGATTGTGTGTACAGTATTATATATGCCTGTAAATCTTGTTAGTACAAATTTTAAAATGGCTGGCTTGAATTTTTTCTTCAGTAAAAAAAGTACAAGGATCATCCTGATACACATTTTTCAAACTAGGAGACAATGTATACGACAGTGAAATGTTTGCTATTTTTATTCCTGCAGTGGGGCATACTGTACATGTCCTTTTTTGTACTTCTACTGACAATGTTATTCAGATTACTGGATGTGTTACTGTAAACCTGCTTTGCATGAGACTTGAATTACATACTTTTCACCAAAAAGACAACCATTAGAGCCTTTGTTTGCTTGGTTGTAATTGTCTAAAATCCTGCACAATTTTGATCAAGATTTATTTTTCATTAAGTAATTTGTTATCAAAAAAATTCAAAAAATGTGATGCACAAGAAGCAAAGGGTCAAAAATTGTCTATATAGTGTTTTGACAATACATACAGTACTACCTATTGTTTTGTTTGGATCTGTGTTGAATTTACCTGCATGATATCAACAACACTCAAAAAAAAACATTGTATAATTTGAATAATATATATGTACTGTATATATAAAACAGCAAAAACTATAGCGCCTGCTAAATATTTTGTTTCACTATTCTTATCCCCAATAAAAGGGTTTTGTGAACTACACTTCTCTTGATTTCAGCAGCCTGTAGGTAATATGTAACATTTAAACAAACAGTACTGTCTTTAATATCACTTGCTGTATCACCTGAGGTTTATGACATCCCCTGTAAAATATTTAACTGTGAAAGTCCCTGTTACACTTGCCGAAATTGCAACTCACACCTGCGCACTGCGGATACACGCGTTTTTGAACCAAGGGAGATATTTACAAAACAAATATCAGAATACATCATTTTAAGGCAGTTTTCAAAAAAATATGATTTCTATTGACCAATCAGTGTTTCTTCATTCATGGATATGCTACAACAATACGCGCTCTGTTCTGCAAGTTTACGAAGCATACGAAACCAGAGTACGCCAAAAAACACACACTTAGGCATTGTCTTCAAACCGGTCAGACCTCTCTGGTACGAGTTCAGATGGGGTTTATCCAATCGGGTTCAGCAGATTTTGTAACTGTTTAACAATGGAACAGGTGCAATGAGGGATTTCTTCATCGCAATAAACAAAATACTCTATAATCTAAAATAATCTAGGTTACGCAGTTGCATGACAGCTTAATTGCAGTCAAAACAGTCTGAGTCAGTTAAATGGGTAGATAGATAAGATTGATAGATAGATAAATGAGATGAATGGGTTTACATATCCATCCATGCATTTTCTTCCCCTTAATCCATTTCTGGGTCGGGGGGGTGGCAGTCAGAGCTGCACCCAGTACATTTAACACCAGCCCCTCACTGATCCTCCTGCAGGTGGTGAGTCCACAGGAGCTGAGATCTTTCAGTGGGAGCTTCAGGCAAAGTGGGGTCAAGTGTCTTGCCCAAGGACACAACGGCAGCAGTCATCAGTGGGAGTCGTGAAGTAGGTCTTATGGTGGACTTGAACCCACGACCTTCAGGCCCAAAGGTCAATGCTCTACCAACTGAGCTACTGTCGCCCCAGGGGTTTACATGGGTTTACATACTTGTTGCTAAATCAAAATAAGCTGGACTTGGCAAGGGATCCGGCTTTCACTTGTGCTCTGTAAACATGGTCATTTTTTGTGTGCGTTGAGGATAAATCAAGTCAAAGAGGTGACATTATTTGAAAGCTGAAAGAAATTCACAGTTTGGACATTCTTAGAAAAAACAAAATGTATGGAGTCAGTGCATTTAGTAAGGTTCAGGAGCAGGACCATGCCTCAGCCTCCTCCACCTACTCTCCAGCCAACCACACTTCACCTCCTCGTCCTCTATCAACCAAAAAGCCTCAGGGAACCGTGACACAGGTCTCATTGTTCCCGATCTGCGTTGGTTTGAGCGTGGGTTTGCAGAATTATACAGTCCAATATAAATGTGTTAAATCCAGCTGTTTTGTGATCAAATTGGCCTCCACTCTGAGTCTCAACCGGCCGCCATGAAGCTTGAGGCTGCAGCTATAGCAATAAACATAATTCAAAGGCATTCTGTTGGTGTGATTGTGAACTAAAACTAGTACCAACAAAGCATATGCCAAGACGTTTCTTCAAATAAACCAGCTTACTATTTCAACATGTGTATTATCCCAAAGAGAATAAAAAGAAGTGGAGCAGTTTGAGAATCACTAAGTAAATTAATCATGACCTACTTTGGCACTCATGCAATAAGATAAGAAGCATAAATATCTGTGACCACTTGATTTGACGAAATAAATGCTATTTTGTGGCGTAAGAGAGTCATCTTTGCAGCTGTATTGATCCCAATGGACACTTTACACTATAGATGTAACACACATTTAAGCCTATTATCTGTGGGATGATATACTTAATCTATTGGATGTGGGAAGCTTCTTAAAATAAAAACCCATTGTTTTTACAAAAGTATACAGATTTACAAATTATTCAGGGCACATTGTAGGCACACAAGACATTCACAAAGATGTATAAAAAACAAACATAAAAGGTAACACAAAAACATTTCAAGATTAATTCAGTCTCTCCACCCTTTTGCGTTACGACCGAACTTGTACACCAACCGTCGTCCATCCACTCGCTCTAAGATTTCTCTTTTGTAGTAGTATCTGCAAGACAAAAACAATAACCTTAACTAGACGTTACTTTTGTCAACTGTTTTCAACCCTATACAGCTTAGGATGAGGCCAATGTATGTACTTTACAAAGCTGAGCATGCTAACGTGAGCATGCTATTGTGAGTATGCTAACATGAGTATGCTAACATGAGTATGCTAACGTGAGTATGCTAACGTGAGTATGCTAACGTGAGTATGCTAACATGAGTATGCTAACATGAGTATGCTAACGTGAGTATGCTAACATGAGTATGCTAACATGAGTATGCTAACGTGAGTATGCTAACATGAGTATCAATCAATCAATCAATCAATCAACTTTATTTGTATGGCGCCTTTCCAACACAAGGCCACTCAAAGCGCCTCACAACCCACATAGTATCACACAAATCAGAGACATCAATAAATACATTAAAAACAGAATAAAATCACAAATAATGGAAAAAAAAAAAAAAAAAAACTTAAAATATTAAAAGCACACACGGGATTAAAATAATAAATAACCACAATGCATTAAAAAAAAAAGAGTATGTATCAATAGAATCCTTCAGCCGTATGCACAGCTAAAAAGAACAGTTTTTAGCCCCGATTTAAAAATTGCCAGAGTAGATGCTAGCCTCACATCTTCAGGAAGATTGTTCCAGATTTTAGCTCCATAAATCTCAAACGCTGCCTCCCCATGTTTAGTTCTGACTCTTGGAACCAGTAAGAGGCTACCTCCTGTGCTCCTCAGAGTCCGGGTCGGTTCATATGGGACTAACAAGTCGCTTAAGTACCCTGGTGCGAGGCCATGGAGAGACTTGTACACAAGCAGTGCTGCTTTGAAGTCTATTCTCTGAGCCACAGGAAGCCAGTGCAGAGACCTGAGAACTGGACTAATGTGGTCATATTTCCTGGTCCTGGTCAGGACTCGAGCTGCAGCATTTTGGACATACTGCAGTTGTTTTACAGCCTGTTTGGAGAGACCTGTGAGCAGGCCATTGCAGTAGTCTAACCTACTGGAGACAAATGCATGGATGAGAATCTCCAGATCTGATTTAGACACTATGTTTCTAATTTTGGCAATGTTTTTCAGATGGTAAAATGCTGCTGATGTTACTGATTTGATATGACTGTTAAATTTAAGTCTGAGTCCATTATAACTCCTAGGTTTCTGACCTTGCCTACAGGTTCCAGGGAGAGAGACTGGAGGTGACGAATAACGCTCTCTCTTTGTTTCTGAGGACCAAAGACAATCAATTCTGTTTTGTCTGCGTTTAGCTGAAGGAAGTTATTTTGCATCCAATCACTAATCTGTTGAGTACAGTGAAGGAGTGATTCCACTGGTCCATGTTCTCCTGCAGTAAGTGAGACATAAATTTGAGTGTCATCAGCGTAATTGTGGTAGGATACATTGTTGGAGCGTATTAACTGACCTAACGGCAGCATGTAAATATTGAACAGAAGAGGCCCCAGAATTGATCCCTGTGGCACTCCGCAGGTCAGAGCCATATGATCTGAGACACAGTTTCATCTGAACCAAGTATTTCCTGTCTTCTAGGTAAGACCTAAACCAACTTAGGGCAGTCCCAGTGACACCCACCCAGTGCTCTAGTCTCTGCAGGAGGATCTCGTGGTCGACTGTGTCGAACGCAGCACTCAGATCCAACATTACTAAAACTGTGACTTTTCCTGTGTCGGTGTTAAGTCGGATGTCATTTGTAACCTTCACTAGTGCAGTCTCAGTGCTGTGATTGGCTCTAAAGCCGGACTGGAGCGCATCAAACGAACTATTAGTTACTAAGAATTCTGTAAGTTGTTGGTAAGCAACTTTTTCCAGAATTTTTCCCATAAAAAATTATGTATGCTATCGTGAGCATGCTAACGTGAGCATGCTAACGTGAGTATGCTAACGTGAGCATGCTATTGTGAGCATGCTATTGTGAGTATGCTATCGTGAGTATGCTAACGTGAGTATGCTAACATGAGTATGCTATTGTGAGCATGCTATTGTGAGTATGCTATCGTGAGCATGCTATCGTGAGTATGCTAACGTGAGTATGCTAACATGAGTATGCTATCGTGAGCATGCTATCGTGAGTATGCTAACGTGAGTATGCTAACGTGAGCATGCTATCGTGAGCATGCTAACGTGAGCATGCTATTGTGAGTATGCTAACGTGAGTATGCTAACGTGAGCATGCTCTCGTGAGCATGCTAACGTGAGCATGCTATCGTGAGTATGCTATCGTGAGTATGCTAACGTGAGTATGCTATTGTGAGTATGCTATTGTGAGTATGCTAACGTGAGTATGCTATTGTGAGTATGCTATTGTGAGTATGCTAACGTGAGTATGCTATTGTGAGTATGCTATTGTGAGTATGCTAACGTGAGTATGCTATTGTGAGTATGCTATTGTGAGCATGCTATTGTGAGTATGCTAACGTGAGTATGCTAACGTGAGTATGCTAACGTGAGTATGCTAACGTGAGTATGCTAACGTGAGCATGCTATTGTGAGTATGCTATTGTGAGTATGCTAACGTGAGTATGCTAACGTGAGTATGCTAACGTGAGTATGCTAACGTGAGCATGCTATTGTGAGTATGCTATTGTGAGCATGCTATTGTGAGTATGCTAACGTGAGCATGCTATCGTGAGTATGCTATTGGGAGCATGCTATCGTGAGCATGCTATTGTGAGTATGCTATCGTGAGTATGCTAATGTGAGTATGCTATCGTGAGCATGCTATCGTGAGTATGCTAACGTGAGCATGCTATCGTGAGCATGCTAACGTGAGCATGCTATCGTGAGCATGCTATCGTGAGCATGCTAACGTGAGCATGCTAACGTGAGCATGCTATCGTGAGTATGCTAACGTGAGCATGCTATTGTGAGCATGCTAACGTGAGCATGCTATCGTGAGTATGCTAACGTGAGCATGCTATCGTGAGCATGCTAATGTGAGCTAATTTAGTTTATTGTGTTATTTACCAAGACATGTTACTGCTGATGCTAATGGTGCTTTGTTTTTGGTAATGTAACATACTGTTTAGCATTTTACATCAGGCAGTTAAGCGGCCACCCTTGGTTATGCTGTTATGGTTTGAATGTGAGAAATAAAGCCAGAGCCGGTACGGCTGTAGTTGGGAAAGAGTCTCTCGTTTGTGCTCTCAGAGCTAAATACATTTTACAACACTATCTAGAACTGCTCGGTTACAGTAATAAAGACCTGTCGTGGCTTTTGTAGTGTTAGTGTTAGAAATTTGGACCTGCCGCTTGTGGTGCTAAATAGTGAGCTGTGTGCAAAAGTCAGCTGTATACAGGAGCTGTCTGATAGTTATGATCCAGTTGCTTTATATTCAGGTGTAGCTTACAGTATGTACACGCTTCCCTTGAAATGTAGCTAGCTCTGTTTGATAAAGGCCACTTTTCAAAAGCACACAATTCATTCTCACTGCGATGAGATTTAGATAATGGAATAATTATTATTTTGTTAAAATAATTGCTTGACTGACAACGACCCACCACTTCTCTCTGAAAATGCCAGTCAGGTCAGTATATGAATGTAATTGCTGCTATACTTTCCAAGTCTGAAGTCGATCGTCATACCTCATAGCGCGACTCAATTTCTCATACGTCATGCTGCTGTTATTCTTTCTTTTGCCCCAGAGCTGAGCCACTGCTTCAGACTTGAGGAACCTGAAGACCCCCTCCTTGCGGTCCTCCCACTTGATGAGGCCCGGGTTGTGCTCAGGGTGCAACAGAATGTCCCGGACGAACTCCCAAAGGTGCGTGCCTCTAGCGCCTACAGGGGAAAAATTATGGACATTATTGCAAAACTTGGTGGATGGAAAGTTGCAATTAAGTACACAATATTATACACTCACTTTCCTTCTTGACATGATATGTGCGGCGGTTGCATCTTTTAATTTCTGCACAATGAAAAGTGAAAGTGTCATTAAATGATTAACATGAATGAAATGCTCTGAGATAAGTCTTACCGGGAATAGAGGACACGGGAGAGAGAGGAGGAAGAACTGGAAGCACAGACGGCTCATATATTTCTGTTAAAACAAACAAAGGCTAAACACAACTTGAACTCTTTAATGTATCTAAGGTAGTCTTATATTTCAATAACTTTACCATGGGATGAATGGCTGGAATTGGGATACGTATCAGGCTCCACTGTTAAATAAAAAATAATACAAAAAATGTTATACTGGGTTTTTGGCACTTTTATCAATGGTCAATACGTCATTGCTGACATGGAAGCTAACAGCGAAGCTAAGTACGCTCTGGGTCTTTCTAGAATCTTGGTATTTTGTGGAAATTTTCATTTATTGGTACTTTTTTGTGGCTGTTTAAACACATTTAAATAAAGATTCAAGTTTGGAGCAGGCACGGTAAATGTAATTGGGATAAGGCTAGGGCCAGGGTTAGGCTAGCCTCCTGCGGAACAAACACTAAGGTTTTAATGAGCCCTGCAAATATTAAATGTTTTATATTTGCGTCCTCAGAGCTTCTCAGGCCGTTTCAGTTATGTGCATCTTACAACATGAAAAAACATGTGGCTTGCATTCATCTGCATTCTATTAATGTACAAAATGTATTTTAATTTAAATTTAGCTGCAGCAGTGACTAAACTGGTGCACTCTAAAAACCGAGAAGTATGCTAGCTAGGTACACAGTTAACTGAACAAATGATGCACACTTACGATAATCCTTGTCTTCTTTGAGATCACATTGTCCAATCTCATTTGGATTTCGCCCTGTATAAACACAGACACACACACACATGTTTCAGATACATTTTGGAAAGGCAGAGTCAAATTGTATTGAACATCACACCTAAAAACAAGCCTTGTATTGTATTTAGTTTAACAGTTTCATTCACATTTGCATCTGTCCTTTGGCTTTGTCAAATTCTTGGGCAGTCTGCGGTTGCGTCTTTGGAGCTGACACACCAAAGCAAAGGTCAGGGCATTGATCTTCCAACCGGTGAGTAATGCTGGTCAGAGTCGAGGCCTTCTATCTGTCTGGGTCTATGCCTTACACGCTGAACAACATGAGGAATTTCATGGTTAATGTAATGTTAAAGACATTTGAATATAACAAAATAAGCCCAAGACGTCATTATTCTTTGTCCATGTCACTTTTCAAAACCATTATGCCTGTAACAATGCAACCTGTATGCAAAGGTTCATACAAAGGTCCATTGTGTGTATTTGCGACAGAGCTGAAATTTATTTCACTGATGCTCTATTGTATTGCACAATTTTCTTTCAAAATATCATTCAACCTTTTGACATTTCAGGTTAGACAACTTCTTTCTTGTGTTTTCCCTTCTCCTTGTGAGTTTTTGTACCCTTTAAAACTTGAGTCATTCAATCAACCTTAATTACCAACAGCGGTAAGCCAATTCTTAGCCGGTGTCTTAGCTTCAAACTCCCAGTGAGCTTTGTTAAAAGTGCTGTTTCCTCCAAGAGCAAACAGATCTATCATCTCTGCGGCTTACGCTGGTGTTTGGCCCTCTACAGCGGTGTGCAGCGTGACCCCTGGCAGGTCCATCCTATAAGCAACACTTCATCAAGACCTCTGGAATCACGCTGCTATATAGGGAACCGAATAAATATCGTACAACAACAAAGCAGAAACAAAATGTCCTCAGACTAATCCTAGGTTCTTTATGCGTATGAAAGTCAGGAGAAAACAGTGAGGGGCAGAGTGGTTGTTTGGTTTGAACGCACAATTTGGCGTCTTGAACGGCATAAAACGCAGCTGGGTGTGTTTAAACCATAAAACCGCACTATTCCAAATTGTTTAATCCACGTATGCCATGGTCATAACACTCAGACACTCAGAGATTATTAGAGAACATGTACTGTATATTTGGTTCACTCCACTCTGTAAAACATGTTTTTTTGCAGAGGGAGTCTTACCATTTTGGAAAGAAATTATACCTCAAGATACTGTCTATTTTTTGCATACTTAAAAGAAAGAGCTCATGGAGTCACAAGTTGACGTTTTGGGCTGAGAGCTGATTGACTGATCAAGAAGTGCCCTGTTTTTTCCCTGTTGTGCCTGAAAAAAGCTTACAACTGTGCCTAAAAAACCTTACCTAAAAAAAGTGAAAAGCAGTGACATTAGAAAGTTGAGTGAGAGATAGGAACTATTGTAGTTATATGGCATTTAATATATGGACATTTTTGTGGTGTTAAAGATAAAGTGCCCCGACTTCAGGATTCTTTCAAAGTGCAGGAAAGAACGCTGCCAAATACCTACAACCCCGAGGAGGCTAATGGACAGATCACGGAGTTGTAGTTTTTTGATTACCTATGTGTGGGCAGATTGTTGTGTTTGTTTTAATAAAGCTTTCTTTGCATGAACATATTCCTGGCAAATGTTCATTTCCTTTTTAAATTCATTCATTTCCTTGATGGCCTAATAATAGAGTAGTAGCCTACATAGGATAAAATATATGAGTGTGTTCACAGTAAAGTGACAATTGAAGTATCTGGACTTTAAAAGGTTATAACTTAAAAACTAAAATTACTTTCATAGATAGGAAAAAAGATTTCAAACACAAACAGATTGAAGAGATAGTGTGGAAAAAATCAAAAGGAAAGATTGACATAAGAATGTTTAGCAAAATTTTAAACAACCAAATGAGCCTCTGATTGGACCATTCTGTGACGCCAGTTACATAGAAAATAAAATGTCCTCAGTCTGAAAAAGCAGAAGATGAAATCCCACAAGATTTACATGGTTAACACAACAGAAGGAAATCACTTGATATAAAAAGGAATCGTAAAAAAATAATTAATTAATTAGATGACCCCTGAAAAATGTATAACGGACGTGATGAGGACGGTCCTCTTTTCTCTGAAAATTAAACTTGAGAGAAAACAAAATCTGGTCTGTTTTCACATTTAATTAGTTGACAATATGAAAGTATCACTTTGCATCTACTTTGTGTAAAAAAATAGAATCTTTGAATCAAATGTGGACATCTGAAAATACCTATCAAACTTCTACATAGCTCATTCCGTCAAATCATCACGTCCGTTAGATAAAATAAACAGGGCCGCTATAGGAAACTTGTCTAATGTATAAAACAGTTATGTTCTAGAAACTTCTAATGGACAGAGGAGGTGCTTTGAAACATGAAAAACATAAAATATCTTCTGATTATTAAAATCTAATTTTTAGCCTTTTGTCACACTTTTGTGCCCTTTAGTGTGAACAAGCCCATATGCAGAATAATATGAATAAATATATATATTTATATTAACATTATTACACTAATTATGAGGCAGGGTGACTAATAGTGACAGATCTGCCAACCAATCACGAGTGATTTTACTATTTGAAAGTAGTTAATTCATCCAATAAGGAGTAAGCTACTGTACGTCTGGCTTGGCCTGGCCATGGGTGGTTTTGCTGCCAATCACGAGTGATTTCTCTTGTTTGAAAGTAGTGGTATTGGCCAATGCTGAAAAGGGTATTCAAGCAGCCTGGCCAGCCGCTGCATTCATATGCTAATTAGGGCCATTAGCATGGTATGTTTCCGACAATTTGTGGCACAAGCAAACTCTACCAACGCGGGTTGTAAATTGTTGGAAACTGTCAAAAATGAGGGAGCTTTCCGGGCGTTTACAGGGACGGAAATCACACTTTTCATGCAGTGGTGACTGTAAACACACCGTTCCACTTGAGCTCCCCAAGGCTGTGGTAGAGGATGGGTCCGACGCTGCCGGCGGCTAACAGAAAGTCCTGGTAGCTGAGGCTGCACAGCTGCTGTCCGTCCATGTCGAAGTTCTGCAGCGGGATGTTGCTGGTGTCGATCTGGTGCATGTCCAGGATCTGCAGGAGCCAGTTCCACACCTGGTACTTACTCCAGAACTGAGGCTGGGACTCATGCGACAACAGGAAGCTGGGTTGGCCAAACATCACCGTGTGGACTGCAATCACAGGAGTAATGTCACAGAAAATAAAATAAAATAGACAATACTCATACATTTCCAGTTATTTTCAGGATAATATTGTGTGTTCATTTGTATGCTTGTAAGTTATCAGTTACTTATGAAGTTACAATAACAAGAACTACATACAGATGAGAGAAATATTATTGGTTCACAGTTACAAAAGTAAAAAAAACACATTTCGTTTTTGGCAACAGAATGGGTCTTGTAAAAATTTTAATTCTCAAAATGTTCGCAGACTCGACTGCGTTGTGTTAACGCTTTTGTCCGAGAGCGGATGGGACTGAGTAAGGGTGTCCTCTCTTTTTCACTTTTGTGTCTGGACAAAGCTGATAAAATACATACGACAAGAGTTAGAACCATAGACTGTAAATATTTAGAAAACCACCCAATTTTAAGATTGTTTTATTATATTGTAAAATGTTCTTATTTAATTGGGGTTGAGACTCTCTATTATAAGATTAGAATCATATATACACATTCACATAAATACATAATTTCATTGGTTCTGTTTATGTGATATTGTAACTTACTGTCAGGGAACGTGTTGGGGGGGTCCCAGGGAGCGGACAGGGGGCTCTCCAGGGGGGTGCTGGACATTACACTCATCCTGCTGCTGAGCTCTGATGTTTCATGACCTGAAAGCTGTGAAAACAAATGCGGACACATTCACATGATGATCCAGATCCATAATAATAATGATAATAATACATGTTAATATAGAGGTTAATTTATTTATTTATTGATTGATTTCTTTGACAAGTGTACACAATCAACATGTGAAACACTACAACATTCATAGCACTAAATAAATACATTGCTTGAAGTATTTTGTTTTATCTTGAGTACTGTTTGGTAATATTCAATATATTATCTCATGCCAATGGAGAACTGAAGTGTGGTTTATTGAATTGTGTAACATTAAAAACTCTATTCATTTTTTTAACTTTACCCATTGCAGATAAGAGGCGGAGGACAAAGGTCATGAGAGCATTGGAATAAGGCCAGAACAGTCCAGTGTATAAACTCCTTTGTTGAAAAATTACAATAAGCTTATCTTGGATGAGATCTTTGACACTGTATAAGATGGAAGCATATATACTGTCTTCTATGTTTTACCGATGCTGGTATTGGCAGAACCAGCTGTTATAGTTTGACTCTGTGCAGATAAAGAAGTAACTAAAGCCAGCATTGACCACAAGTGCATTGGGATTTGCATCACATGTAAATAACTGTGTTAACAGCCATGGTGTGGGAGGTTGAGCCAAAGAATAAAAACCACCATATGAGGAATTGAAGTAGGCATATATCTCTTGAGTACCTCTTTGGTCTTTTGCAAAAAAAACAAAATAACATACTAAACACAACAATTCCCAGTATGGTTTAATATACATATTTTGAAAAAAAGGTTATTTTCTTCTTCAAGTTCTAGCTTCAGTATATACCCTCATTTTATTGAGGCACATTTACTTTCGATTCCACCTCTAGCCTTTCTCTGTGGAGTTTGCATGTTCTTCCCATGTCTGCATAGGTTTCCTCTGTGCGCTCAGGATTCCCCTACTACTAAACATGTAAAAAAAGATTTGACATATGCCTCCTGTATGAGGACAATTTACTATAAAAATTAGAGGACCCAGAATCCATCCCAGTGGGGCATGTGAACTAAAAACACCCTCAACAATTATAAAGATCTTTAGGACTCTGTCTGTAAAACTATATACAATAATAATATATATTTGCTTATTTATTTGTCATCATAATACATACATTGTAAATATTGTCTATACATTTGTGCTTGAGCAAAGACAAAAGATACTTAAATATTATCAATATCGGGTGGTTTAGTTGCAAAACTCATCTCAATCTCGTCTTCTCGTCCATTATAATTCAAAATCCAAGACACAAAGCCCTCAATAGCCAACACATGGCAGTTACCAATAATAGCTTATAGGATGTCAGAAACTTCATGTAAATCCTCTGACACATTTATGCGACTTATCCACGCTTAAACATCTGTGTGACATGCATTGACAACAGATCTGCGTCAAAGATCCTGCAAATCGCTTTTCAAACAGCCTAAGTCAAGATATTTCAATGAAATTTCCCAAGAGATGTAATTCCACATGCCATAATTCCACGGAAGATCCAGTTCCTGCTTTGACAGCCTGCCAAGTGCGCTTGAATGCCTGATTTCGCACGTGCGCAAACCTCAACCTAAGCAGGTATCATCTACAAGCTGCAGAGGAAAGAGAGCAGAACACTGGGAAGAAGCTAGTGTATGGAGTCAAAATCCAAATTCTGGCATTAATACACTAGAAAAGCCAAGCACCATTCCATCCCTGAGAAAAAAATCCCTGACATCAAATTAAGGAACTTGTTCCTTGAGCCATTCCCGAGCTTTCCTGAAAATATTATAGAATCATCCTTAAAATGTTCAGTCATCTAACTAACTAACTAACAAACTAACAGACAAAGCCTGGTCATTGCTTTACTGCTTGGCGATGATACTTGACTAGATAAGAAAAGATAGACTTTATTGATCTCACAATGACATTAATAGGATCACTCTGGGTGTGCAAAAGACAGGAAATGTGCAAACATGTTAATATATTAATACAATAATTACAAATTAATATATAAGAATACAAACAATAACACAATTCTATTTATATTTAAAGCCGCAAGCGGCGTCGAGCGGCCCTCGCCGCACCGCGCGACTCCCCACACCGCGCACACCCCCCGCTCCAAGCCACCACGCACCACGCCACCCTGCACCACGCCGTCCCGCATCACGCCGCCCCACACCAAGCCGCAACGCGCTGCTCCACAACGCCCCGCGCTACGCCCCGCGCTACGCCCCAAACTACGCCGCACCACACCGTACCACGCAGCACCGCTCAAAGGTGATTGTGTGGTGATTTGTTCCCGTAGCCATAGAAGAAGTTAGTCAAATTGTAATGAATATGATAAATAGAGCTGGTTTGGCTCCCCATGTAAACTTTGCTTCAGTCTGTAGGGGGAGCTAATGGGCCAATTTCAAATATTTCACTTTCACCTGACCTAAACCCTGGAGTTGAACAATGGATTCAAGTTTAATGCAAATCAATCTTTGTTTGTGCACACGGGAAAAAAATTAATGTTGTCAAAAACGGCCAAAAAAAACCTCACGTTTTGCCGCTCCGCTGCTCAAGCAACGTTTCACTGATCAAAACTCCCTGAAGTCATTTAGAAGGTAAATGTGTTGAGATGATTTGGAACAATTTTGATGCCAATCGGTGAAACGGCCGAGGAGGAGTCGCTTTCCAACCGACATGTATGAAAATGATTGCGGATCATTTTTACATTTTGCAGTGAAATTTATGGGCCTCCTGTTTGTCAGAGGGCGGAGCCATGGTAATCGTATCTTGACTTGAGGAACATGTGTACCGAATTTCATGGCTCTACGACAAACTTGATGTATGAAACTCCCATTGGCTGTTGTAGGTGGCGCTGTTCTGGCCTTTTTTGAGTCCCATAAAAATAAACACCCAAATATCAAATTTTTCACCAGGTGTGATGTTTGGGCAAAATTTTACAACTTTTCATGCATGTTCAGGGGGTGAAATTAAGGCTCAAAGTGCAGAATTTGACATCTCTCGAGCAAAAACAATAGGCCCTTTCCCCGTTCGGGGCTCGGGCCTAATAATTCTCTGTTTTGTTTTTTTACTTTATAGCAATATCAAGTTTTTACCAATATTTCTAGAATGAATAATACAGTGGCACAAAAAAAAAACATGTATATTATATTGTGTAGTCCCTATACTAGTATTTTTTAAAGCACTGTAAAACATTAACCCCACTATAACACAACTATCATAATTTAGACTGACAAAGTTAATCAGATACCAGACAAACATTCCTTGTCCCCAAATCATGCAAGTTATCTCACTTTTATTTGGCGTGTGTCTAGTGTTTACCAAAGCAGCATGGCATCTTACCAGAAAGGTTGAATGGGATCCCACAGGGGCTGTAATGAGGACCCTGCAACTTCTCCCTCTTGGCACAGACTTTTCCAAACAGGTGTTTACAGCGCTCTTCTGTTCTTCCCTGATGTTTTGAGTGAAACAGCAGCGCAGAGTAGGTGCTGCCCCATGCACAATAGCGTATTTATTTCTGACTTCCTTATTCTCGTCCATATTAATGATAGTTTTTTTTTTTTTTTTTCTCCAGTGCACACCCACACAAACTTTTTTTCCTCTCCCCGCCCACACGTTTCACCCAGTACACCTGACTGTTGTTAAGATATGCATGTAGTGTGAAGTCATTGATCTGTTAACAGCATTCTTCTCTTTGTGAAATTTGACAGTATTTGTCTTCTGGTAATGACGGTTTATCTAAGTGAACATGGGACAGCAGGAAATGCACGACCTGGAAAAATAACTCAAACGTTGTGTTAATATTTACCCTACATTATTAACACAACTTGTGAGTCATTGAATGGCTAGATTTTCATTGTTAGTTACAATTGAATTAGACTGCTATATCACAGTAGAATAGCCCAATGCTACATTACCTACAAATAAGGATTACATTTGAATTTAATCCAATCCATTTTATGTATAAATCAATTTTTATATACAGTGCTGCACATAAAAAGACAGTAATAATACAAATGAAAAACCATAGTAATATAAATTAAAATCAAAGCAATCGTCATCCAATACTCCCAGCTTTTAGTCAAAATAAGTGTGAAAACTATTCCATGCTGTCTTTATCATAATATTTTTACATAATGATAAACTGGTACTTCCTTTTTCCCTAAAAAACCTGTGACAGAGGCCAAAAATAGATGAAAACTAGTGATAAAACCAAGAAGTTTTGAGAGCATGGACCTAATGGCATGTCATTTATTGCATAGTTGCTTTGTCGTGGTTCAACGTAAAGTACCTCAGCTTTAATCATTTCCAGAATAACTGTCTAAACCAGTCTATTTATAGCTCCCCGTAGCAACATGCTTTGGAATTTTTTTTGAAAAGTCCCCGTGGCTCTCTATGAACAAGAATTGGTTGTAGTCTGACACACCACTGCATGATTAGTAAATACTTCCTTGTCTTTATGATTCGTTGAGGTGTAAAGTTACAATGCAGTGTGTAGTCACTTTCCCAACACCCTAAAGCTGTAATGCAACCTAGGCAGAGAAAGTACAAAGAAGGTCTATTTTTGCTTGACGGCAATTAGAGTTTGGGCAAAACATGACAGCCATTGATGATGGATCTGAATGTGATAGATCTGTAACGCAGCCTGCACTATTACAATATAGCTCATGGCTGTTTGCTGTAGAATGTGCAGTGTGAAAAGGTGAAACGGAAAGAAAGAAGATAAATAAAAAAGTAAGAGCGATACTATATTTGATACTGAAGTTAAAGAAACATGTGATTTATATCAAATAGTCAAAGAACCTGTTTCAAATACCAGAGATGCAGTAAACCAACTGGCAATCTTGAGCAATTCATTTTACTCTGCAAAAAACCCCATAGAACACAAGGTATTGAATGGTATTGAATTTTCTCGTATTTTCCAAAACAAGAAATTTCTTGTATTGAGAATAAGATCAATGTTACCTATGTCAAAGAATATAGTCATAATATAACCTGACTTCATACTTTGGGGTTAAAAAACGCGTCTATCTATCTATCTATCTATCCATCTACACTGCAAAAAGGGTTGAAAAATAAGTAAAAAATAGCTCAAATTTGGTTAAAAGTGTGTAGATTTTAGCACATTTTAATTTTTTCTAAAGATACAAGAAATGTCTCTCGTGGAATTAGAAAATAAAGCAACAGTTCTTGAAATAAGACTTTGTATGTTATGTACAATACAATAGTGGCAATAGTAGTGCAGGCTTTTTTATTTTATCTTGTCCTAGTGCAAGTGGCTTAAAGTGACTTGTTGTACAGTCTGACAGCGGTGGGGATAAACCGATTCAAGCAATTATTACCTCACATCTTATAATTTTTTTGCAGTGTATTTACCAATCTATCAATATATTTATCTCTCAATGTTTGACTAATTGTTGTCACTTTTAGCAGTGTCGTTGTGCTTTTTCCATTGCAGTTGTACCACATAAACGGTCTATCACTGAATTCATGTGAACTACAGCCTTTATAAAGATTACCTTTTTCTGATTGGGAAAAAAAGCACTCTCATTGTGAGGAAAAATAAATGAAGGGTCAACATTCGGCCTTCTTCTTTCCCATTTTTTTTTTTGCTCTCTGATATAATTATTTTTGAATTCATAGTCCTTTTCTCCCACACTGCCATGTCACACCAGTGGAGCCTCATATTTGGCATCTCATTTCACGGCTCTTCGTTCTGCCTTTTCAGGGTGGATGTGGGTCGACATATGCACAAGTCCACTGAGGGAATAGCAAAAGAGTGAAGCCGGAGAATGGGACAAGATCAAAGTCAAGTGCACCCTGTGTGAGTCAGCCTACCGACAGCAAAGACATCCTCCCAGACGCGCCAAAAATGTCATCAAAAATACTGGCATTATAGATAGCACCATCTATTTTTAAACAGACAGTCGAGTGGAGGCTTATGTCACCCGCCCAATAATAGTGCTGCTGATCCATTTATAAAGAGGCCTGATGAGGAGTTGCTTTGGTTGTGCTGCGCAAAATGAGTGCTTTATCTGAGGCTCCGGTCAAAAGTTTGCTATTTGATAGGAGGTGGCTGTCGCTGAGCTGTCAGTCTGGAAAAGTGGTCTAGACCGGAGGGGGTGGGGGGCACGCTCTGATGAACAGAAACGTATTAGCTTGAGTATTATGTCTACGGTTGTCCCACATTAGGCCCCCTCTTTCATTAGCTCCTGATCACGACTGTGTGTCATCTTTAATACTTCAAAATGTTGATTAGCGAATCATGTTATGGAGGAAAGAAATCATATTCTATTCCCATTCGATGGATATTCTACACTTTGTCAATGATTTAATCTGGTTTAATCCACTCATGCAACAACTGCATACCACCAAGCTACATTGGCCATTTAGGCAGAGATGGCAACCGTTCTATTAAAGTAGAACCAAACTTTTTTTCCTAAATTATACAATGTATTACTATTAATGGTATTAATATGAATGATATTAATGTATTGTTGTTTTCACTCAAAAAAAGTTGATCATGTATGTTTGTTTCAATTCAATTCAATTCTTTTTATTTACAAAACTCGTAGCCATATTGGTTATACACTTTTACAATGAAGTGTTGGTTGGTGTTTTGTAAAAAGAGAACTCCCAGGAAGCTGCATTAGCTTATAGACAGGGCCCCCACAACACATGACACACATAACACAAAAAACAACACAGCAGAAACAAGTGTAACATTCCATACTACTACACAATCCCAAAACCCACTTACAGTGTTTCCTTCTCATAAAATAATTACATTGCTCTTCATTAGCAATTGCTGCCATTTTTGCTCACATCTATTTGAATATAGGACAGTGTAAAGCAGCCTGTAGGTGTCCCTCTTCCCTCACTTTGCAAACAGCCGGTTCATACACGCTTCTATGTTGAGCATCTTTGGTGCGTAGGCGGTGTAACTGACAGTTATTGACAAAGGCTGTGTGTTACGCATGTGCACTGTACATACAGTACATACATTATGTGCATCAAAGCTGTTAAAAGAACTGATCCACTGTGTGCTCCAGAGGGATGCAGGAGAAGAGGGAACACAAATGGATCAAAGAGACAAATCTGCTCTCAACATTCGGATTATGAGGCCAGGACACAATGAGCAGGTTCAACAGCAGGTATGCTGAGTGTCTTTTCTCTGATGCGCAAAATGCTAAACACATTGTCTATAATATCTACAGTGTATGTCATGATTAAAGGTTTATATTTGGTTACCAATATTTAGTAAGGGCTTATAGATTCACTTTTAATTATTCTATTTACTGTTAAGATGGTGATCAGTCATTGTGGACGTTATTTACAACATTTATTATACAAAATATATTTCATAGCACAAAATATAAAAAAGGGGAAAAAAACGTGAATGTTAAACGATAGTTCTCCCCTGCTGTCTCACAGTTCCAATTAGGCAATGCCAATAAATATTATAACCCACTGTCAGAGAGAAAGCAAGGGAGGGGGCTTCTGTCTTTTTGGCGGCCACTAGCTCCTCCAAGATGAACCTTTGCTGCCCCATGCGTTCAAAAGACGAACCAGGAGAGAGCAGGAAACTCATCGTGATATATAAGTGTTATTCTTTACTTTAGCCTTAGAGGAAATCCATGTCAGAGCACATTTGAAAGCTGTAGGCAGAACATTCCATTTACAGGGAGCATAAGGGGAGAAAACGGCTTCTCTGATTTCCAGGAGGAACTGGCAATTTAGAGATCTATGAGGGCCTGAGATTGTTGAGGGATTTTTAAGTCAATCTGGGTCTGAATTGAGAATCTTAATTAAAAAAAAAGTGTAATAAAAGATCCTTACAGTCTATGGTCAGAACACATATTTTGAATGAGATGCTATATTGATTTAAGATACATACCTGAAAAAGGACATTGCAATACTCTTGTCTAATAGTGACAAATGCTTGTAGGACTACACGTATTTCATCATTTTGGTGGAGAGGACAAAAGGACAATTTAGTTTCATGATTGATGTGTTGATTAAGGTTTAGTTCCAAGTACATGATGACACCGAGGTCTCTCATAAAGACCCTAATTGGTCCCAAAATGAGCTTAGATTTTTTTTTTCTTTTTTCTCTTTAGGACCAATTATGATAGCAGTGCTCTTCATGACAAAAAAAAAGTCTATGAGGAGACTTGTGAAAAAGCGTTAAATGGCAGTCAATTTTTTTTTTTTAGCACTTTTATTCAGTGCTAAAACTAAATATAACTGAAATGCAAGTAAACAAATAGTTTCTATGGTGACTAGCACTTGCTCTGCTCTTAAACCAAGCTAAGCTCAGAACCAGTCCAGAACCAGCACCTCTGACTGCCATAGAATGTTGGTTGCCAAGCAACTGAAAGGGGCTACATCTGAATTTTACATCCAAATGAATGGAGAATGAAAGGAAGAACTCCTCACATTTCCAACATATATAATTACAGATATATACAGATAAAGTTACAAAGTTATGAAGAGCAAAACATTTTAAAGAAATCCATAAAAGTACAAATTAATGTATG